ACAGCAGTCAATTAGTTGCCATCCAATACTTAAAAATTAGATTTCATATACTCTAAATTGCTATCTTTTCTAGAAAAATAAATTCTGTTCACACTAGGCCTGCTTCCCAGGAATCATGTGCTCCAGTTTACCGAAGTCTCTACAACTGTTACCTTCATTGCTTGCCCAGCTCCTGTAAGCACTTGTAATCCCTAGGTGGGCATTACTTCCCATTCTTATACAGAAAGAAAATTTGAGGCTCAGGAAGAACAAGTAACTGCCCAGTGTTAAATTACAGCAGTGGAGCTGGGTTTCCATTCAGACATTTCAAATAAATGATGTATTTTTCCATATTCTACCAACTGAAAATAAGTTGAATTCACCCATTTAATCCCACTTACTGCTCTGCTCTGCCAGGAGCCAGTTTATATGTGTGAGAATGAATGTTGCTCCTAACACGTGTATTATTCTGTGCTCTTAGGCTACAAAAGCAATGCAATGTGAATTTTTTAGTCTTTCCATCTAAAAGTATGTGATTCAGAACTTGCCACATAGTTTGTTTGTCCTGCTGCAGACCAAGAACCATTTTTTGGGACACTAAGTCAAAGCTGCTTATTGTATCTCATGGTTGTGTCAAAAAACAACACAGTATCATACTTAAGTGCTACACTTTTAATTTTATTAAAAAACAAGCAGGTATCTTCAACATATCAAATGCTTTAATTCACATTTCTGCCTGCAGGCACTGACCACAAAAATACAGACCCAACAAAACAAAAGCAATTAACACAGGGTAATTAAGTGGTTAGGTACATAGGACTGTGGTGGGCAGGGGAAAGTGCAAGAGGCCAGCTGGTTGCGCAAGTGGAGTCATCACACGTGTCCTCAACATTGTGGGTTTAGGGATCCAGTGCAATCAGTTCACTTCTAAGAGGACGGGTTGAGAACTCGAGCTAGGCTGCTCTAAACTTGTACAAACAGGATTACAAATGAGAGTGCCAATTTATCTGTAGGGTTCATTTAAGCAGTTCAAATCTGAACTGCTGACAGAGCCCTGAACCGGATTGAGAACAAACGTTTTTATGAGCCATCTTGGATCATCCAACTCCACAACGTGCCTGCCTTACTCTAGGGTTTTTCTCAGCCAAATCTACTCATCTGATCAGGATGCCCCCTTGCCTGGACAATGTCAGAGGAATAAAGAAAACAACTGAGCTTTCCGGCTCTTCCTTTTCAACATTCCATGTTAGTCACCAAAAAGTAACACATAATGGAAATTCCCTCGATTACAGCTTATTTCCTGTTTAGTGCATTCTGTGTTGATGTCGTCCTTTAATAGTGAGGTAGCTGAGGGCATCCTTAGAGAGACTGAAGTGTTCTTGGTCTGACATCTGATACCAGTAACACAATTTTTTTTTTTTTTAATTGAGACGGAGTCTTGCTCTGTTGCCCAGGCTGGAGTGCAGTGGCATGATCTCGGTTCACTGCAAGCTCCGCCGCCTGGGTTCCAGCGATTCTCGTGCCTCAGCCTCCTGTTTAGCTGGGACTAAAGGCGTGTGCCACTGTGCCTGGCTAACTTTTTTTTTGTATTTTTAGTACAGATGGGGTTTCACCATATTGGCCAGGCTGGTCTCGAACTCCTGACCTCAGGTGATACACCTGCCTTGGCCTCCCCAAGTGCTGGGATTATAGGGGTAAGCCACTGTGCCCAGCCTCAGCAACACATTTCTATTTATAGTTTCTAGGTGATTTATTTTCTGCAGACATTCTTGCAGATGGTTAAGCTCAATCATTTAAGTTTTATAAACGTCTGTATTAGAGGATGGCATTTTAAAATTCTTTCCCCAGAACGCTGGAATATACCTTTTTGGGCTAGGCTATGCAAGCCTCATGCACTGGTTACACAGGGCCATATGGGTAAATATATATGTATTGATGTGTATTTACATATCTAAAATTAAATACAGACTATATATTTAAATTAGAAACACGAGGAACGAAGGCTAAGTTCACTGCTTTACTATTCAATAAAATAGCTTTAAAAAACTGTAAAATAGCCAAGTGGCCACATTCTAAGCAGCAACAGAGACCTCCAAAATATTCTGTCCACCAAAAACACATGAAGTTTCTGAATATGTAAAAATTAGTAGAAAATCAATTAGGTGACAAAGTCATTATAGTAGTGGCTTTCAAACCCTTTATAAAAAATAGTAGAATCATTTTAAATGTGGAAGTATTTTATCTATTGAGATCTGAAGCAGCACTCAGTATACACAAGTGTGGCTGCATTGATTGAAGTGAGAAGGCAGGAGCCTCCATGGCTTGCTGTCCCTTGGAGGCGCTCTATAACTAACTCCTGAAGCAACTCCTTGTCCCCCGACACTGCATGGGTCACAGTCCAAAAACTGACTCCACGTATGAATCATACCAATTTTTATGTAACAGAGTTCAGACAAATATATCAATCTGGGTACGATACAAACAAGTTTTTCATAGAGTTCTTTTAGAAAAGTGACTTTGAGGGAAGAGGATAGTGAAGTAGAAGAAAAACAATTTTAAGAACGTACAATTAATTCAATTTTTCGGCATGGTATCCCACCTAGCAAAAGCCCTAGGTGAATACAAGAGGTTCAGACCAGAAGCTTTCAAATTTCAGTATGCTTAAGAATCGCCTGAGGTGCTTGGTAATAAAAACAGATTTCTATGTTGCGTCTCCAGACATGGAATCATTAAGTTAAGGGTTGGGCTCAGGAATCCATATTTTCAACAGCCTGCCCAGGCATTCTGATGCTGCAGATAGCCTGCAGAGCATACTCTGAGGAACATGAGAAAGGCTTCAAGGGAAAAATTAAAAAAGGGGGACACTGTTTAAAAGCAAAACCCAAACCCCACCTTTTCTGTCTTGTTGCTGAGAATGAATTCAGATTGGGATAAACAACCTTTTCTTTCTTTTTAAAATATCTAGATATTTTAAATAAATCTACTTATATTCCACTGTCCTCAACTGGGTGGAAATATTAAAAAAATTATCAATATAAAACATTGGTTCTTGCTTCAATATTATCATTTTGAAGGAAAACCACACAAAACCATTACCCATTCTAATGACCTTTTTGGCCAAACAAATTATGTATTTGGGTCCACATTAATCTTTTAGTATAACCTTTAAAGTTTTCAAGTTAATGCAAATTTAAAATTCAATAAATATATTAAATACAATTTTACTTTATATTACAAATGCAAATTATTTTTCTTTTGACATGCTGGTAGTATTCATTTTTACAATGCAAATTGACTTTACAATTTCTGAGTCACAGTAGACTATAACTCTAAGCAAACGTATTTCACAAAGCAAACACTATGTTTTTGAAACACTCTAAAAAAATAAAAATCAATAATTTTGACTATAAAATTTGTATAAACATTAGCTACATTAGGGGTTTACAGCTAATTGTTGCAGAAAACCTAAAACACACTTAAATCATGTAACCTTACTAGTAGAAAACTTGTATTTTAAAACACAAGTCAGTTTGATCTCTATTAAACATGACAAAACACTGAAAATTATCATCATCTGCCTATGGGATCTATAAGAGCTGCCAGGTATTCAGTATTTAAGCCACTACATTTATAGGAGTAAGGAATGTATTGGGATAGTAAAAAGATGAGAGAAATCTGGAAACAGACATGGAGATATGATTTACTTCATGTATTTCTTCCTGAGAATGTTGAAGTTATTTTTTTAAATATCAAGACAATTTAAAATGGAACAGGAAAATCTTATGGCAATTTTTTTGGTAAAGTGTAGAATCCCTGGTAATATAAACAATCACTACCCTAATATGTAACTTGCAAACATGAAGTCTTATAAATTGTACTTATTTAAACAAGACACATGCCTATACATTTATTTGAAATGCTGGGTAAATGTGCCCAAAAAAGTAAGTGAATTTTGCAAAAACAAGATGATACGTTTTGATATGGTATTCTGAAATAGCTTCCCTAAATGAAGTCTAAATGAGTGAATAAGCCAGCCGAAAAACTTCATGACAGATCAGTAGTGACGCAAAAACCTTACTAGATTACAATAACCAAAAAAATCAACTTGTTTAGATAAATGAGGGCATTTTACATAAGCTGTTCTAAATATAATGTAATATTATGGTTGGTATTAAAATTCCAATTTTTAATTGTAGTTTTCACAATTAAAAAACTATATTAGTTATTGTGATTATTTTAATTCCAACATCCTAAATTGATGTACTTTGCTTCTACTATAATTAGCACTATGAATTTTATAACAGGTAAACTATAACCTACAGCAAAGTGAATTTAACAGTGTATTTTTAAAATGTGATATCTTTAACAATTTTGATCATGAATGAAAGGATATAAACCTCATAATACGCAGAACATGATTGGCCCATTAAAAAAACAAAACTCTGCCATCCTCACTGCCATGGTTACCTACCATGAAAGGTGTATAAATAAATTGAAAACAGATCTGCTCATAAAGTTTCTCAAGACTAGAATTTAAGATCACCCGAGGAGATCTGGAAGAGGTTAATTTAGCAAAATAAAATATTTCATAAAATGTAATGACTACTGTATACATTACTAAGTTGCTCTTCGAAAACATGGTCTGGGCCTGAGGTGAGGCAAACTTAGGTTTATGGCAATTCACCGATGACAGATTCATAATAGACCCTCAAAGACTGCTAATGGTATTTTGGGGGAAACATTCTGATCTTTCAGAGATTAATGTCATGAAAGAGCACAATGCCTACAAACGGGCCATTTGTCAGAAAAACACCAGGCTAGATGCCCACTGGGTCAGCCTACCTGTGGGTAATGAAGGGATGGGCTGGTCAACAGCAGAGAACAAGCACCCTCTAATGGGAACCATGAAACTGGCCCTTCAGTAAGTTTGTGGCAATTGAGGGGCAAATAAAACAATGAAACAAAGCTTTCAGTTATCCAAAAGTAGTTCCCTAGTGCTTTTCATGCCCTCCTTCTTTTTCCAATACAATGAGGAATATTTGTGAAGAATAAGAATGTCTAGATATCTGTCAGGAGATTTAAATTAAAATTTTAATTACTTAATAGACTAAATTTCTATCTGATTGTGACTAGCAGAATTTATGTGATCAATTTAACTTATTAAATAAAGCTACAGAACGTAAACACTAAACACAGGTATCATACCACAAGGTAAATAATAAATAATTTAAAAATATATATCTCTCATTTTAAAATAAATATGATATAAACATTTTAGCAAAGATTTCTGTCCACTTACCTCCCTAAGGGGAAATTCTGTTAAAAGACTACTGTATTTCAAAATGCTACTAGACCACTAAAGTTTTAAAACTTATCAGTCAGCCTTGAGCTTTTCCTAAGCAATTAATCTCACCATTAAGTTTCCTTTAAGCACAATTTTTGAAGTGTTGACACTGTCTTTTAATAAAAAGAGAGGGTGATAAACTGTTCAGCTCAGAACCTATAACTTACAATCCAAAGTGCTCTGAATCTTATTTCTTACCAATTCACTTATCTGCTTCTCTTTTGGCTACACTGGTGTCATCAAAAAGATCCTGAATTTCAGCTCAAATGGTTACCTACAGAATTAAACAACATTTACGTGTCTGAATAAGTTCCTAAAATAAAAATTATAATACAAATTTTAAGTATGATCTTTTTTTACTATTCTCCTTTTGGGGGTTCCTAGAAATCAATACATATACTTGGTTTGGGTTGCAGAAAATCTTAAGAGGCATGCTGCAGGAGGATGCCCACGATTAACCATGGTGGTTTGACAGTAATCATTTCCTTTCAAAAAAGCAGGTTAATTTTTAAAATGCTATGGTGTCACCATATTAAAAATGAAGATGGAAATGATCTTTCCACCCACACCTTGTTGGAGATATAATGTGTCCATCCATTGTGCGTCCATCATATGCATGGTTCAAAAATAAGAAATGAGACAGCACATACTTCAGAGCGAGTCCCACTCTCAAAACAGTCATAACAAATTTTCACTCTCATGTAAGTTTTTTTGACTTTTCGTAAGTTAATACTACTCATTTGAAGTATTTTGCTGAAAAAGGAACAAATGTTTGTAAATAACTGAAGGCTGGCTGGTTTGGGGATGCTATTTACAAAAATGTATACCCATAATACTACTAGTGAAATTAAGACTGAATAGCTGATAGAGAATTTCTATTAATACTTTTGGATGAACATACATCTACTTGCGTGAGGATTCTATGCAAAGTTTTCACTCCCTCATCCATCTATTCAGTCTCCTTTATATCTTCTTGATCCGAAGTACTAGAGATGTCATCATCTGTTTGTTCTCCAGAGAAATATAACATCATTGCATGTGTCTTGTGAGTTATGGTGACAGTGCAGGGCCCTTGGGCCCAAGGCTCCCCATCCACCTGCATTGGCATCATGGAGCACTTCAAAATCAGCTGATATTAGGGAACAAATAACGTTTAAAAGTCAGTCCCCCAAAATTTAGACAGGTCTTCCTTAATAACACCATCCACAATCCCTTAACCCTTATGCATTTCATTTTTAGAAAATATTAATCTGAATATGTTTTTATTCATTGATTAAGGAATTCTTTTTTCAAGTGAATGTTTTATCTCATGGAGCTTGAGCCATGTTTCTGTTTCTTCCTCATCCCACTCTAGCCCCTGGTGTACAGTGACCAGCTGCATGAGCCATAAACCACGGTTTAAAGAAAGGTATGGCATGTATACTTTACGTATCAACAGCTTAGAAATGGATTGGGACAAATTAGCCTGTTACAGCCATATTTCACCTACCCTCACTGTATGTGCCTGTCCTATTCGAAAAGGATTCGCCAGTTTTACTTGAATCTGAGCACAGTGGAAAGACCCATATACTCCAACGACTTCCAGTAGACCATCGTCATGCCTAAAATTGGAAACAGAAAATACGGATTATATGATGCAATAAAACAAAATCAGTTATGCTAGAGCAATTACTTTTTAACACAGTTGGACCATCAACTTTAAAAATACTATAACTAATGAGATATACAAAAAAGAAAATTTAAGGAAAAATGTTAAAGTCTATAAACAAGAGATTGCTTTAAATAAAATAGTGACATAAAAAAACAGACCACAAATGTACATACCTGGCTAGAGGGTAAGTCTCGTCTCCCATCCCTTCCCATAGTCTGCAGCCACCGCCCCAGTAACCAATGTTCAGAACTATAATACCTTCCAAGCTGGGCAGTGCTACTCGCTCACCATCCAGTTCTAGCTTTAAAGAAATACAAACAGATAGTGACTACAGGGTACATGATTTCCATACACATCCATTTAGAATTCACATCTATTTTCATAAATGTGCTTATATGTGAGAGACGCACATGTAGAAGATGCTCCCTACCTCTCACTCAGGGCCTCTCATCTGGCCTTTTCTATCTCTTCAGTGGAACTGCTTGCAACATCATCAATAATGTCCTTTTTGTTGAGCCCTGCGATTTTTTCAGGCCTTATCTAAATTGCTGTTTCAGTAGTACCTGACACTTGCTGACCCCCTTCCTCTTTTCCTAAAATCTTCTTTCCCTTTGCTTCCTGGGAACCACAGACTCTACTTCCCTGGATGTTCCTTTTCAGGAAAGTAAACTGGGCCAGATCTATCTATCCACTGCCTCCAAAACATGTCCATGAACTGGCACCAAAAATTCCTATGTAAAAAATTGAACAAGCAACTTTTCTGCAATCTGTTCCCTGTTCCCCAATGTACTTACCAGGAAAGAGTAACAATCTTCCCCTCCTCCTTCTCTTAGCTAACTCTTACTTACTCTTTCCTAGTAAGTAGGTTAACTCACCCCCACCCCAGCTGTTTAAGCCAGAAACCTGCCAGTTATCTTTGATTTCTTTGACTTTTTACCCTCCACATCCCCTTAATCACTAAAAACAGTTGATGCTATTTCTATGTCTTTCTCTCTCTCCACCATTTCTTCCCTAAAAGTTCCTATCTAGCCTATCTGCCTCTAGCGTTACTTTCCTATGCATCCCTCACAGAGCAATTGGATCGACATTTTAAAAATGCAAATATGTCATCCTCTAATTACAGCCCTTCAATGGCTTCACTTCAACCCTGCAATGCCCATGATGAAATCCAAACTCCAATACCAGGCAAATATGACACTCTGTGATTTGACTTCTGTCCATCTCTCTAGCCTCAGCTCTTGTCACTTTCCTTCCTGAAAGCTATGCTCCAGCTTGAACTCACTCAAACATGCCATGTGCGCCTCTGGGTCTTTTGCACATGCTGTTTTTAGCCTACAGCAATCTTACCCTCCTCCTCCTCTTAGCTAACTCTTACTTATTTTCAGATTCCATCTTGTCACTTCTTCCAGAAAGACTGCCACCTTCCCTAGTCTCTGTAGCTCCTAGGTTACGTATTGCAGTTATTTATTCCTGTAAGACCACATGCTTTTCTTACATAACTTCTCATACTGCATTGCAATGTGTGAAATATCTTTTTGGTTTTTTCTTGGAGACAGGGTCTCAATCTGTCACCCAGGCTGGAGTGCAGTGGTACAATCACGGCTTACTGTAGCCTCTGCCTGCTGGGTTCAAGTGATCCTTCTGCCTCAGCCTCCTGATCAGCTAGGACCACAGGTACATGCCACTATGCTCAGCTATTTTTATTTTTTGTAAAAGTGGAGTATCACTATGTTGCCCAGGCTAGTCTCCTTGCCTCAAGCAATCCTCCCACCTTGGCCTCTCAAAGTGCTGGGATTACAGGCATGAGCCACTGTGCCCAGACTGGTTTAAATACCTTTCTTCACCCTAGACTGTAAATGTAGAGCAAGGGATTTATCACTGTACCTCCAGTATCGAGGACAATGACTATTTTGTAGGTATGTAAATACAGTTTATTTTATTTCTGTATAATTAAAAGTATTTGTATTTTTATATAAATAAAATGTCAGACAATAAAGGTCTTTATTTTATGTGCTTGCATGCTTTACTCTACCAATACTATCAAAGCCAAGAAAAATAAAATATGATAAAGTAACATAACACTCTTTTTTTTTTTTTTTTTGAGACGGAGTCTCGCTCTGTCACCCAGGCTGGAGTGCAGTGGCGCGATCTCTGCTCACTGCAAGCTCCGCCTCCCGGGTTCACACCGTTCTCCTGCCTCAGCCTCCAGAGTAGCTGGGACTACAGGCGCCCACCACCACGCCCGGCTAATTTTTTTTTTGTATTTTTAGTAGAGACGGGGTTTCACCATGTTAGCCAAGACAGTCTCGATCTCCTGACCTTGTGATCCGCCTGCCTCGGCCTCCCAAAGTGCTGGGATTACACGTGTGAGCCACCGCGCCCGGCCGTAACACTCTTTTTAACAGAAAATGTGTTCTTGCTTCTACGCCATGGCTGCCTAGAGACTCTGAGCTAAACGTTATGCCTAACGGCAACATGTTTCCTTGACTAATGTATAATCAGCCTCCTTACTCCCTGCTCATTGTCTCCTTTCCCAAGCTGTTTATGATCTCTTTATTTTATCAGTTCTAGGTTGCTCTGAATTAACGTCTTTGTTGTTGCTATTAACCATTACAGATTCTTTTTGGAATCAAGCAAGGAATATATTTAAGACTGCCATATCATAACGTCAGAGATGCTCTCGCAATAAGCAATCATTAATATTCTATTTTTACTATTTACACATTTTTATTTTGGTATGTAAGAGAGATACCCCACAAAAGTAATCTGAATTAAACTTTCCATTTAAACTTCCTCTGTGTCTTTATGTTGAGTCAGGCACTGTATTAGATAACTGTAAATTATTTATCATGTATGAATGGAGGCCATTCATCCTAATAAACAGATTCTGGATTTACATAAATCTGGGTTCACATCTTGATCACATGTGTATTTAGGCATTAAATGAGAGAATTTGGGCAAATTACTTCATTCAAAATAGTTTTCTATATAATGTAAATATATAATACATGCCTTATAGAATTGTGGAGAGAATTTAGAGGGACAATGTGTATAAAGCATGTAGCAAAGTGCCTGGCACACAAATAAATACTCTATGTATGCTGGCAAAATATATTAACAGAAAGTTAGTTTAGCATTTCTTTTTAAAACGTCTTCATAATCCAGAGACCACCTAAAACTTTAAAAAATAAAAAGAGTTAATAGCTTACCTCAACTTTTTTATTCAAATCTTTACATTCTTGCACTAAACAATCTTTGGTTCCATAAAATAAGTAAACCGCCTATGAAAAATGGACAGAAAACATAGTATTAAAACAGTCTAACCCTGTAAACATTAAGAAAAAATACACTGTATCAAAGCTCCCTTCAAGAATGTTGAAGCGCATTTTCCTTATGGTAGACTAGATGCTGATGAAAAGAAGGGCAACCAAAAGGGATACTTTTGATGTGCACCCTCTGGCCCTATCCAACACCTCCATTCTAGTAATTTCAAAGGGTAAAATTGGAATCCACTAGGAGCAGCAATGGAAATCTATAATTAAAACACAATGTAAAAATGCCTTTAATATATCATAGATACTTTTGGCATCATTTGTTATTTCACATTTTATTCTCTTAAGCTATTAATAGTTTAAAAGTTCTAGGTGAACTGTGGTTACTCATCCTTCTTTTATGGAAGATGACAATACAGGCCATTTCATTTAAGTGTAATTAGTCTCTTTCTCAGGGGAAATGTGGGATAGAAGTGGTTTTTTCTTTTTTTTTTGAGATGGAGTCTTGCTCTGTCACCAGGCTGGAGTGCAGTTGTGCGATCTCGGTCCACTGCAACCTCTGGCTCCCGAGTTCAAGCGATTCTCCTGCCTCAGTCTCCCAAGGAGCTGGCACTACAGGCGTGCACCACCACATCTGGCTAATTTTTGTATTTTTAGTAGAGACGGGGTTTCACCATGTTGGCCAGGATGGTCTTGATCTCCTGACCTCGTGATCTGCCCACCTTGGCCTCTCAAAGTGCTGGGATTACAGGCATGAGCCACCACACCTAACCTACAAGTGATTTGTTTCTAAATGGTGTTTTCTCCCAATTTATCAAAAAAGTTGTATTTTATAAAGAAAAATATTCAAGTTAGAAAATTCCACTTTTTCCTAGTACCTCAGATTACTTAAGAAGAGTAATGCATATTAATCTAACAAACATTTTCTAATCACTTTCGAATACAGAAAGATTGATGTAAGGACTGAGATGAGTTAATTATCAATTGTATAAATAGTAATACATATTACCTTAGTAACTACATTAATAAAAGGGAACTATTTCAAAACTTGAAATATTTGTAAAACAGAACCAGGAACACAATTGCTTTGCATTTATTTTTGATATCCTGTTGGTCAATCACCAAATGTTATTTAAAAAATTCCTAAGCAAAACTACATCAAAGGAATCAACTGTACTAGAAACCAGATATGACCTTAGTTCAAAGCTGTGGCAAACAAGCTTCTCTTTTCTTTATCTCATCTGCCTTCTGGAGGTTTTTCAAACCAATGAAATCTACTGTTCCATTAATGACCTCACCAAAAATTTAGTCTGCCTAAAATTTCCTTCCAATTTTAGCTGCCATTTAAGATAAACTATCATATATTCCATTTAGTTGCCATCTAAGCAAAATATGCTATAAAACACTCCAAATTTGAATTTAAAAAAATTGTTAGAATTATGTTATACTTTGATAAAGTTGTTTTGTTTTGTTCTTTGAGATGGAGCTTCATTCTGTTGCCCAGGCTGGAGTGCAGTGGTATGATCTAAGTTCACTGCAACCTTTGCCTCCTGGTTTCAAGAGATTCTCCTACCTCAGCCTCCTGAGTGGCTGGGATTACAGACACCTGCCACCACGCCCGGCTAAATTTGTATTTTTAGTAGAGACAGGGTTTCACCACGTTGGCCAGGCAGGTCTTGAACTCCTGACCTCAAGTGATCCACCTGCCTCCGCCTCCCAAAGTGCTAAGATTACAGGCATGAGCCACTGTGCCCGGCCTGCTAAAGTACATTTAAAGATCTAATTTAAAAAAAAGATCTAATTTGACGATCCTACACAAAACAGAGCAGGTAAAAAGTTAATTAAATCTGAATCTAAAAGTGCTAAATATAATTGAACTATTGATTTTTACTGTACCTTCAGTGATAAGCAGGAAATGTTATTTTATCCAACACACCTTATTAAGAATTCTGCTAGAAAACAGAGATGGTGCCTTCTCACGATGAGCATGAAAATTGAGAGCCATGAGAGCATCAGGTCCAACAGAAAAATAGTTGTTCATTGTGAATTCCTGTGAGAAAGGGTAAGAATAAGCAACAGACTATGATTCCACCTAAGCCTGAGTCATAATTAAATGTCAATCTTAGTCTTTGTGTTCTTTTGTAAAGGGAGATGCTTTCTGCATTTACTTTTCACATGGCCATTTTATACTGTCCGGTGACGTTACCAGAAATAAAGCTTCCATTTAAGGCTGATAACTACAGATGTGAATCTCATATTCCATTTCTGTTTTATATGCTACACCTCAGACCTTACCATCTAGAATGGCTCTACTTGATGCTTCCAGGCTTTTCATGCCTGTGTTTCCATTACATTTGCTCTTTACATTTATCACAGCCTCCAAGCTCTCAGCTTCTATTAGTCCCAACCCAGGCTACTGGTCTCACCTTAATTTATCTTACTTCCCAATGCGGCCTGGATTCCAAGGTCAACCATTTCAACGACTGTACTCAACACCATCCTTCATTCCAACACTCTCTTGACCTCTTCTCAATTTAGCTTTGTTTTTTTTTGAGACAGAGTCTCAGACTGTCGCCGGGCTGGAATGCAGTGGCGCGACCTCAGCTCTCTGCAACCTCTGCCTTCCGGGTTCAAGCGATTCTCCTGCCTCAGCCTCCCGAGTAGCTGGAATTACAGGTGCCCGCCACCATGCCTGGCTACTTTTTTTGTATTTTTAGTAGAGATGGGGTTTCACCATGTTGGCCAGGCTGGTCTCGAGCTCCTGACCTCATGATTCGCCCACCTCAGCCTCCCATAGTGCTGGGATTACAGGCGTGAGCCACCGCGCCTGGCCAGCCTTACTTGTTAATCTTCTCTAAATCAAACTGTTTTCTCTGCTCTATTTCCAGGTTGCTGGACATTGCTGGTAAGAATCTCATAATTATGATCCTGTTACAAAGTTATTTCTAAGGATGGCTGGACACAATCGCTAATAGGACACAGTAACCCTTTCGATGACCCCTTTCTTGTATTCCCTAGTGGTTTATTTCAAAATTTACAACTCTCTTCAAGTCCCTGGTAACTTGCTCCCTTGCCTTTGTTATGTTCAGATGATCTTGATTCTTGCCTCACTGAAAAAAATGAGATCCTCAGGTATGAAAGGTATGAATTCTCCTGCTCTCTTTCTGCCATCTAAACATTCTGACTTTACTCAAGTGTACCTTTTTCCTCCAAATCAAAGATGCTCTTCCTCCTTTTGATGGTTAAGTCTAAATCTGGTCATTTGTTCTTTTTATCCTTTTCCCATTCATCTCTTATGGAACTAAATGTCTGTCCCTTCACTGCCAAAATATAATTTTCAATCCTAGTTTTTCTTTTAAACAAAACCCATAAACATCTTATTTTAAATAAAATATGTCAATGTACATTAATGTGCCTTATTTTTTAACTGAATTTTTTTTTCTAGTTTTCTAGGCGTCCTTTATTCAGAAACTAAGAGTGGGGTAATATAAGCTTCATGAGGGCAAGGCCTTCATCACTGAAACTCCAGCACCTAGGACAGTGCCTGGCACCAGACGGGCACAAAATACTTGCCTGAATGTATAGATAAATGAAGTTCCTTCTTGTATTTGATTGTTTGGATGTTCTTCTATAGAGGTAAGCAGACACTACTTGATTGTAGTGTATTTATTTTTGACAGCAAATGGCTGAAGAACATGTCTTTTTATTTGAATCATCTAACTGGTGTAAAACTTTGTCCATCTTTCTTTGGAGGAATGATCTCTGATAAATATTTCTAAATACTCAGCTCCACTTTATTACTGAATAGTAATACATCCTGGTATGAATGAGAAATACATCTTTTTTTTTTTTTTGCATATCCATCACCTCAAATATTTATCATTTATTTGTGGTGAGAACATTTAAAATCCTCTCTTTTAGGCTCACACTTATAATCCCAGCACTCGGGAGGCTGGGGTGGGTGGACTGCTTGAGCTCAGGAGTTTGAGACCAGTCTGGGCAACACAGACAAATCTTGTCTCTATTGAAAATAATAAAAATAAAATTGGCCGGATGTTGTGGCATGTGCCTGTAGTCCCAGTTACTAATGAGGCTAAGATGGGAAGATCACTTGAGTGCAAGAAGTCTAGGCTGCAGTGAGCTGTGATCACGCCACTGCACTCCAACTTGGTCAATGGAGTGAGACCGTCTCAAAAAACCCCCAAAAAACAAAAAACCTCTCTTTTAGCAATTTGAAAATATACATTATCTATAGTCACCAAGCTGTGCAACAGCAGAACTTATTCTTCCTATCTAACTTTTTACCTGTTAACCAATGTCTCCCCTTTCTCCATCTACTCTCCTACCCTCTACAGCCTCTGGTAACCATCACTCTACTCTCAACTTTGAGTTTTGATTTTTTAGATTCCACATATAAGTGACATCATACAATATTTGTCTTTCTGGGCCTGGTTTATTTATTTAACATAATGTCCCCTAGGTTCAGCTATATTGCCGAGAATGATAGATTTTCCTTTTCTTTTTTTTTAAAGTCTGAATAGTTTTCCATTGTGTATATATGGCATATTTAAAAAAACCATTCATTCACTGATGGGCACTTAGGTTATTTCTGCATCTTGGCTATTGTACATAACGCTGCAATGAACATGGCAGCATGGACATCTGTTTGATATACTGATTTCAATTCCTTTGGGTATGTATCTATAAATGGAATTGCTGGAACAAATGGTAATTCTAGTTTCAGTTTTTTGAGAAACCTCCATATTGTTTCCCAAAATGGTTGTATTAATTTGCAATACCAATAGCGTATAAGGATTCTGTCTTCTCCACATCCTTGCCAACACTTGTTATTACTGACCAATGAGATAGGATAGGAAAGCCCAAAATAAATACACATATCAATGGCCAATTGATTTCTGACAAAGGTGCCGAGAACATACAATAGGGAAAGGAGAGTCTCATCAATAAATGGTACTGGGAAAGCTGGATATCCACATGCAGAACAATGAAAATCAACCCTTATCTTACCCATTATAAAGAATCAACTCAAAATGGATTAAAGACTTAAATGTACAACCTGAAACTATAAAAGTACTAAAAGAAAATGTAAGAAAAAAGCTTCATGACATTGGCCTGGGCAGTTATTTGGTTTGATATGACCTCAAAAGCACAGGCAATAAAAGTAAACATAGACAAAAGGGATTGCATCACACTAAAAAGATTCTACAGCAAAGGAAAACAAGAGTGAAGAGGCAACCCACAGCTTGGGAGAAAATATCTGTAAATCATACACTCAATTAGGAACTAATCTCCAAAATGTAGAAGGAACTCAAGCTACTCAGTAACAACCAATAATCTTATTAAAAAATGGGCAAAAGGACTTGAAGAGACATTTCTCAAAAGACATAAAAATGGCCAACAGATACAGGTTCAGCATCCCTAATACGAACATCTGAAATCTGAAATGTCCCCAAATCTGAAACTTTTTGAACACTGACATGACACTCAGAGGAAATGCTCATGGGAGCATTTTGGATTTCAGCTTTTCAGATTAGAAATGCTCAACGGGTATATATTCTGCACATATTCCAAAATCCAAAAAAATCAGAAATCTGAAATACTTCTGGTCACAACCTTTTTTTTGGATAAGGGATATTCAACCTGCATATGGAAAAATGCTGAACATTTCTAATCATGAGAGAATTGCAAATGGAAACCACAATGAGCTATCACCTCGTACCTATTAGATTGGCTTCTATCAAAAAGAGAAACACATCTCTAATGTTGGTATTTCAGGCACTATGATAACTGACAAATACTTCTGAGCACAGGAACCATTTTAAAGGATCTCCAATACTTTCTCTTTTTTTTATGTTTAATTTTTTTTAAATAAATCAAAGCAATCCACTTTAATAAGCTATATAGTTCTACAAGGCTTCAAAGGAAACATTGCAATTTTCTGTCTACTCCTCATTTGTAATTCCTGTTCCCACAGCTCTTTCCATAGTTTTTTCTTCTGGTATTTATCTCTATATTTCTAAGTAACATAATCAGATTATTTCTTGATTTTTTTTTTTTTTGAGATGGAGTCTTGCTCTGTTGCCCAGGCTGGAGTAGAGTGGCGCGATCTTGGCTCGCTGCACCCTCTGCCTCCCGGGTTCAAGCAATTCTCCTGCCTCAGCCTCCCAAGTAGCTGGGATTACAGGCACCCACGACCACACCTGGCTAATTTTTGTATTTTTAGTAAAGACGGGGTTTCCCCATGTTGGCCAGACTGGTCTCAAACTCCTGACCTCATGATCTGCCTGCCTCAGTCTCCCAGAGTGCTGGGATTACAGGCATGAGCCACCGCACCTGATTTTTAAATTTTAAATATTACTTATTCTTTTTCTCTTTTTTTAGAGATGGGGGTCTCATCTGCACTCTGTCACCCAGGCTGCAGTGGCGCGATGATAGCTCACTGCAGCCTTGAACTCTTGGACTCAAGCAATCTTCTGGCTTCAGCCTCCTGAGTTGCTGGGACTACAGGCGTGTGCCCCCATGTCCAGTTCCTTTGCTTTTTGTTGTATTTTCTGAGTGGTGTCTTCAATTGTACTTTCCAATCTGATACTGAATTTTAGTTTGTCAGAGCCTTTTTTGAGGTGTGTGTTTCTGAATGTTCCTTTTATAGAACCCTGTTCTATAAATATTTTCATTTTTTTCTGAGAACATTAGTCCCACTCCCTGACTTCCTTCAGCTTCCTGGACTGTGTTTCCTATAATTCTTTCTTCTTATTTGGGGCTCTCTCATGATAGAGGCTTTCCTTAAATGCCTGCTTGTGCCTCCAATCCTTGGCTGTATATGTTCATGTTTTAAGAGTAAGGCAAAAAAGGCAAACTGTGAACTTTGCATCCAAAAGCAGGTCTTGCTACAGTATAAGCTTCATTATAGGACTACAGTGCAAAAATCTGGTCCTTTTGCTAGGGGACACCCAAATATTGATACCTGTTAATTTTTTCCTTGGGCAAGTTAGCTTCCCAGAGAGAAGTTAGCTTCTCTGCCACTATTCTTGAAGTTGAGTGGATGAAAAGGGCCAGTGATCTCACTTTGCACTAAATCTGTTTTCAGTATGGCATTAGCTGGCTAGACTCTCTCTAAACTTTCCAGAGTAAACCTCCAATCTACTACCTGAGTTGAGGAGGGTAGTAAATGACCACGTGAAGCTGGGGAAAGGGGACAAACAGCTTCTTTGGCTCACTCCTTCTATTTTCAGACCCACTCTATACTACTGCTCTCTGAGTGATGTAGTGACCTGAATTCCTAAGCCTTTGCTTGGTTCTGCTCAATAAACTGGTTTCTTTCTTGGTTTTCTGCAGTGTAGGCACTTTTGAGCTTTTTTCAATTATGTGAACCTTCCTAGTTTTGGCTTCTGAAGACTGCTGTGATCTCTTTCTCCTTAAGGTTTTGTGCCTTCTCAAAGATCTATACAAGATCTGTATCCCCATTTTAGAGGGATTTTAGTGGCAAGGAGAGAGAGAAGCAAAGAAACATGCATGAGTTCCCCAAATGCTCTTCTTTAAAGTCTGCTTTAATTTGGCTGTTTATCACCCACCTACTGTAATCCTCTTTCTCTGTTTTCTCCTTATTTACTTACTACACTCTTTAGTTTCCCTTAGTGGCCTCTCTTAATCTGTGTCACCTAAATGTACCTATTTTCAAGATGTAGTTTGTGGCTGGACACAGTGGCTCATGCCTGATCCCAATACTTCAGAAGGCTGAGGAGGGAGGACTGCTTGAGCCTAGGAGTTCGAGATCAGCCTGGACAATATAGGGAGACCCTCTCTCTACAAAACAGAAACAAAAATAAAAACTATCTGGGCATGGTGGCACATGCTGGTGGTCCCAGCTACTTGGGAGGCTGAGGTGGGAGGATCGCTTGGTCCCAGAGGTCGAGGCTGCAGTGAGCTGTCATCACAATACCGCACTCCAGCTTGAGTGACAGACCGAGACCTTGTCTCCAAAATAAAAGAAAGAAAAAAAAAAGATGTAGTTCTTGACCCTCTTTTCCCTTCTCACTCCCCATATTCTCAGCATTTAAACAATTATCAGAAATAAAGTTTCAGTTCAAAGGCTGATAACTACGGGCATGAATCCCACAACTTGGGCTACTCCCCCGCTCCCACCCCAGTTTATTTTACTTTCTAACCCAGTCTAGATTCCTCAATCTGCATCTCTAGCTCTGTCTTTATTCCTGAGCAATAAGCCTAAACTTCCAACTTCTTGTTCAACACTTCAAAGACTTTTAGATTGATATGCTCAATTCTATCTCATTTTCTTCCTACCCAAACCTGAAACTTGGTATTTTTGGTATTTTTCTTATAGTCATTTCCATATATCCAGTTATAAAAACTAGAAATCTAGTAGTAATATGTATTTTCTCTCTTCCCTTTATACTAATCAGTTGTTAAGTACTGATTAATTCTACCTCTAAAATGTCTTTGCATTGTCCTCATCCTGATTCTGCCTAGTACAGGCTTCTAAGCTATTTTCACATTATCTCCAGAGTATCTTTTAAAAATACAGATCTGCTCTCTCTGTATTATTTGCTACTTGCTAACCATGCTTTGCACTCTCTGCCTGGAAAGTCCTTCGCTTTTTTAAGGACCAATTCCCATATCACTTCCTCTGAATCTTCTCAGCCACATCAGCTAGGCAGAACAGGTGCACTCCCGTAACACATTTACAGTCCAGCTTGTGAGGTAAGCATGTAAGTTTCTGTTCTGCTCCATAGCCAGCTCCCTTGAGATAAGCACCAGGTCTCTGTATCCCACCACAGAGTGCCGTATCTTGTGCAATGAAGCTGAAACTACTTGCAACTGAGGCACTAACAACATACCTTGGGTTTTCTTAAGTTGTAGTATCCTTTATTTGTTACTTGAACTTTCCATCTAAAAAACAGAAGTTAAAAAAAACACTTTTTAGAATAAACCCTGTACTCTGGATGTTTGGATAAATGAAGGTTTTCTATTAAAATACCATCTAAAAAAGTAACCACATGTATATAAGCATGCAAATTTAGGGATAAGTACTCAGTGTAACTTATTACTTTGGCTCTTACATAATAAAACAAAACACCAGTATCTATGTATAAGTACAACGAGTATCGTCTTTCACATTTAAATTACATGGCACATTTCACCTACACAAGTCTTCATTTGTAAACCAAACAATGATGGCTAAATCTCAAGAAATCTACTTTTTGGGGAAATGTAACTTACCGATCTAGTTTAATTCCATCTGCTTCCATTACATTTCGCAAAACCTGTGCAACTGGAATTTCTCCAGCATAACCTGTACCCCAACCCAATGTATTGGATAGATCGTTGCCTGTTCCCAGAGGCAAGACTGCAACTTGTGGAATGTACTTTTCTTGTCCCTAGAATATAGAAGATACGTTTTAGATTTTTCTCTGCAGACTATTTGCTGGGTAATAATACTTTACAAAATTTATTAAGACCAAAACAGTAAGAATACAAATATAACAACTGTATGTTGTTTTGCTAAAGCTTGTGCTAATTGCTTAATCAAAACATCTCATTTTTAACTATTTGGAGCTGGCAATGTCTAATATTTATCTGCATAATAAAAAATATAAAGTAAAAATATTCCATATTAGGTTGGGCATGGTGGCTCACCCCTGTAATCTCAGCACTTTGGGAGGCCAAGGTGGGAGGATTGCTTGAGCCCAGGAGTTTGACAGCAGCCCAGGCAACATGGTGAAACCCTGTCTCTACAAAAAACACAAAAAGTAGCCAGGCATGGTAGCGCACACTTATAGTCCCAGCAACTTTGTAGGCTGAGGTGGGAGGATGGCTTGAACCTGAGAGACGGAGGTTGCAGTTAGCTGTGTTTGCGCCACTGCACTCCAGCCTGGGTGACAGTGCGAGACTGTATCTCAAAAAAACAAACAAACAAAAAACCCATATATATATATGCATAGTATATTTATCTTAGAAGTCCTTCTGTAGTAGTTCTTAAAGACTAATACCTTAATTTTCATGTCATCAACTGCATCCAGGACCCACCCTACAGTCCCATCCCCTCCACAAACAAGTACTCGAGCTGAATAATATGGAAGAAGAGTACAGAGTTGTAGGGCTTTGATAGGAGGAGTTTTAGTTACATCAAAAACCTAGAAACAAAAGAAAAAGAAAAATTATTTTTATCCAACATTTTCCTTCATCTGTAAGGATGATTTCTCTCTAGATGAGTAGAGATATAGTTAAATAACATTACTGGCTACTATGTACTGAACAATATGCCAGACACTGTGCCAGACTCTATATTCATTGTAGCTCACCCCTACACTGACTCTACAAAGCAAGAGTTAGCCTCATTCTATTGGGCTGGAAATTGAGGTGCAGGAAGGTTAAATTCCTTGCCTGTGACTCTCCAGGTAATTAAGTGCTGAAATACAAGGGTAGGCGTGGTAACTCACGCCCATAATCCCAGCCCTTTGGAAGGGCAAGGCAGCTGGATCACTTGACGTCAGGAGTTCGAGACCAGCCTGGCCAACATGGCGAAATCCTGTCTCTATTAAAATACAAAAATTAGCCAGTGTGGTGCTGTGTGCTTGTGATCCTAGCTACTTGGGAGGCTGAGGTAGGAAAATCACTTGAACCTGGGAGGCAGAGGTTGTAGTGAGCCAAGATCATGCCCCTGCACTCCAGCTTGGGCGACAGAGCAAGACTCTGTCTCAAAAAAAAAAAAAAAAAAAAATCAAAGTTATAGTTTATCTATTACACCACATTGCCTCCTTCCTGTTCACATAAACCACAATGTGCTAAGTTCACCTTTAACTAGTATTTCATATCTTATACTGGCTTAAAAAAAAAATCACCAGTGTAAGTTAGTACAAATTTCTAGAAAGCAATTTTGCAATACATAGAAAATGACATAAAAATGCAAGTAACTTTGATAATCCATAACTCTGTCAATGACCCTAGAAAAATATTTCGAAAGACAAAAATGCCTAAAAATATGTATAAAAATATTCACTGTGGCATTATTTATAACACAATCATAGAGACACTGTTACCCTTCAACAGTAGGAGAGTGGATATTCAATTATTTTAGTCATTAAATTATTTTAGTCATTAAATATGTAATTATGAGGACAACGTTGAAACAAGGAAAAATATTTATACCATTAAAGTTAAAAAATTCAGAATGCAAATTTGTATCTAGCTTATTGTTACAGTACTGTTAACATGTAAAGTAAATGCATAGATAATTAATGGAAAAAACAAGAACAAAGAAAACTGATGTATTCGTATGGAGAAATTGCAAATGATTTTCTCTGTATTTTTAAAAATTTTCTTAAGCTGTATGATATTGAAAGTGTAAAAAATACAAATTGGAAGGACAAAATCATTGCATTTCTAATTGTTACACAATAGGTTATTTAATTTTCCTTTTTAAAATTTTTTTTGTTTTTTGGTTAATTTTTCAAAGTAAAAGTCGCTAGTTGTACATTCAATTTTAATGATCCCTTTATTTTTAAAACTGAGGTATAATTTACATATAAGATTCACCCATTTGAAGTGAACAAGCCAATAATTTTTATTAAGTTCACTGAATTGCACAACCACCACCATCATGCAGTTTAGAACATTTTTGTTGCTTTAATAAGATCCCTCAATGTCCAATTGCAGTCACTCTCCATTTCCAGCCCTAGCCTCAGGCAACCAATAATCTATTCTCTACCTCTACAGACTTGCCTTTTCTAGACAAGTCAGATAAATGGAGTCATACAATATAAGGTCCCTTGTATCTGCCTTCTCTATGTTTTTGAGGTTCATTTATTGTAATATGTACGTATCAGTAGTTTGTTCCTTTTTGTCATTTCATGGTATTCCATTGTATGGCCTCACTACATTCTGTTTATCAGCTCATCAGCTCATGAACAGCTGGGCTGCTGTTCATGGTTTTTGGCTATCATGAATAATGCTGCTGTGAACATTTTCATGCAAATCTTTGTGAGAAATATGTTTTCACTTAACTTGGGTAGATTCCTAGTAGAGGAATTGCTAGAAGATATAATAAATTTATGTTTAACTTTTTAAGAAACAGCCAAGATGTCTTCTAAAGAGGTTGCACCATTTTATATTCCCACCACAAGAGTTCCTGTTTCTCCACATATTTAAATGGCTGATCTTTTCATAATTATTATTCTTTTCTATGATCAGGTGGTTAGTGACTTAAAGCATTAATAACCATTCCATTTTAGGGAAAATTAAAACATTAATAAAGAAAGGAAGTTTTTTTCTTTAGTTACCTGGACTGGATTCAACAAGATCCTAAATTCTCCCAACAGTCCTTCTCCCATATTAGTTCCACTACGAGAGTTGGCCAGGATTATTAATGGTGTCCATTGCTTTCCAAGCTTAGAGGCTAGCTAAAAGAAATTGCCATGAGTGAAAAGGGTTTAGAATCTCAAAGATGAAAAACACATTTTCCATGCCTTGAGAACAATGGTGCTATAATCTGCTGAAATAAAAACAACTATACCAGTTCTCTCAATTCAATATAAAAATCAAAGAATTCTAAGAATGGAAGGGAACCTCAGAAACTAACTAATTTAAGCTCCCTTTCAATGTTTAATTCTCTTCTACATTATTCTAGATAAGTCATCCAGCATATGCTCAGACACTCACATAAGGAACTCACTTTGCAGCCCATTACTCTGCTACATCAAATTATTAGAAAGTTTGGACTTTAACTGAGCTGAAAATCTGTCCTTCTATAACTTTCAACCATTCACAGAATAGACACTGATTTTTTTCTCTGATCTTTTACCTTGATTTTCCTTTACTGGATGTATTCTAGCGTATTTTGCAAGGTTTTATTTCTTTTTTTAAAATGGGGCACTCAGATTAAAAAATCTGGACTTCCAATAGCTCAAAGTCAAATGAAATTAATACTTTTCACAATGTAACCATTTCTTCTTCCCCTCTCCTTGTAGATGTAACCATTAATGAAGTTATTCTGTGGTTTGACTTAAGAGATTCTCCTCTCTTGTGATCTCAGGTTGAACTCAGATAAATAAGAGATTGTACATTTAAAAAAAGTGTCAAAACAATATTGTTTGAAAAATTTAAAATGTCCCTTTCCTTGCAGAAATATTGATAAAGGTGACATGTAAGACATAAGATCTTAATTTGAAAAAGGTACGATTTTAAAATAAAATAGTTTAATTATTTTGGTATATCCAATTAGAAAATAAATCTATAAATTTTTTTTTTTTTTTTTTTTTTTTTTTGAGACGGAGTCTCGCTCTGTCGCCCAGGCTGGAGTGCAGTGGCGCGATCTCGGCTCACTGCAAGCTCCGCCTCCCGGGTTCACGCCATTCTCCTGCCTCAGCCTCCCGAGTAGCTGGGACTACAGGCGCCCACAACCGCGCCCGGCTAATTTTTTTTTTTGTATTTTTAGTAGAGACGGGGTTTCACCGTGGTCTCGATCTCCTGACCTTGTGATCCGCCCGCCTCGGCCTCCCAAAGTGCTGGGATTACAGGCGTGAGCCACCGCGCCCGGCCTATAAATTTTTATAATGTTTCCTTAAGAGCTACATAAAGACTGATTCAGTAAGCTACATCAATTTCATACACATATCTACATACTATAAACTGTTGTCAACAGGTTTAATGTTCACCATTACTTGTGGGAGCATTTAATGTGCAATGTAAACTTATCTCTAGGGACCCTGTATAAAGTTCAAAATAGAAAAATATTTTTAGAACAAGGTGTGAGGAAAATCTATTTTCTTTTCACTGACAATAATCATGAATCCCAAAACTGACTGTTCATCAGAATCTTCTGAGGACCTTAAAAAAAAAAAAAAGATGAATTCCTGGACTTACCCTATACCTACTAAATCAAATATGGTAATGAAAGTACTACTCAGAAATCTGTATTTTTAAAAAGCTCCCTAAGTCATTCAGATGCAGGCAGTGATTTAGAAACCATCAATATAACATTTCCAACTTCCTTTTAGACATGAAAGAACTCAAGAGCCAAAATTTTTGACCCATCTCTAGGAACTAGGTAGGGTTTTATGGCTTACCATAATGGCCATTTTATTTCCCTCCTTAGTCTTGATCTGTTATTTAAATTTATTTTATTCCTGGTACCAATTCTTACATACTGTCTTAACCATCTCAAACAATGACTTAAGCAGCTTTTAAAAAATCAATCATATAAGAGAAATAAACTCTAATTACCACTTCATAATCTGTTTTTTTGTCTTTACGCATCTGATTAATGGAGGTTAAATAACTTGGTGGAATGATTAGGTTTTTGAATTCTCCAAAATCACACTTTTCATTCTTTAAACTATTTTTCATGCACTCATCATGTACTGTCTTCTGGCACCAAATGCACCTGAGGGAAGGAAGAAACAAGCGTTAACTAATTTTAAACCATAATCTCAATGATAACCCACAAAACCATCATTTTTGTTAAAAAATAACAGTAATTTTATCACTCTTACTTACCATAACATTTGGCAAATAAAAGAGATCTATCTGCACAGTGAAATGGAGCAATAAGGTTTGAACATATTTGGCAGTTTAACCTAATAGCATTTTTTTTTTTTTTGAGAAAGGGTCTCACTCTGTTGCCCAGCCTGGAGTGCAGTGGTGTGATCTCAGCTCACTGCAACCTCCGTCTCCCAGGCTCAAGTGATTCTTCTGACAGTCTCCCAAGTAGCTGGGATTACAGATGTGTGCCACTACCGCCCGGGTAATTTTTGTCTTCTTAGTAGAGATGGGGTTTCACTATGTTGACCAGGCTGGTCTCGAATTCCAGACCTCAAATGATTCACCCACCTCGACCTCCCAAAGTGCTGGGATTGCTGGCGTGAGCCACTGTGCCTGGCCTAACAGCATTTCTTAAGATGTGGCTTGGGGGCCCCAAGATCCATTCAGGGCATCTGTGAGGTTAAAGTTTTAGTAATAACACTAAAGAGTTATTTCACCTTCATCCTTTCAAAACTGTACAGTGGAGTTTTCCAGAAGCTTTATGACATGTGCTATGACAACAGAAGCAAATATCATAATCTAGCTGAATTGTAAGTGAAAGAAACGTACAAAAATTTAAAACAATGTAACTCTCCTCACTAAATTTTCATAAAAATAATTTGTTACTATTATTTTAAAAATATTTTAAAAATTTATCAGTTTTAATTTATGACATGATAAATATCAATGGATGTGATCCACATAAACAAAAGCTGATCTAAAATGATAGTTTTATATATATTTGTGCTTTGGCTGAAATGCAGGTTCATGAGGCCTGAAGCCCTCGCTGTTTAAATGCCCCACTGACATGGACCCTTGAAGAGTTCCTCAGGGACCAACTTGAAAATCTCTTAACCTGTAAATATAAGTACAACAGTGCGTTTCTTTTTGTCAGTCAATACGAAAATAATTCATATGCTTGCTTTTGAAATAGACATAAGAACATGTGCATTCAGATTTGCAACTATGTTTGGACCCAATTGGTAAAACAAGCAGAGAACAGAGCTGGTAAAGGTCCTGGGTTTCTATTATTAATTTGCTAAGTATTTAATCCACTCACAGGTAAGGCAGATCTGACTGAAGAGATAAAGAAGGCCACCAGAAAATAATGGTTATAATTAAATGAATACAAAAAAAAAAAAAAAGAGGATAAACATTCTTTCACCCAGAGGTCCACTGTTGACCTTCTATTTTAAGCTGTTTTTTCCTTTTGGATATTCAGATTTGTCAAGTACTTAGCGCTGTTTTCTGGAGTCCTATTTACTGCTAAAAGAAAGAGTTCTCTGTATAATCTGTTACAGAGAAAATGAAAATAATTTGCATTATCACATTTGTTAATTTTAAACTCAACTTGAGAAACTATAGTAGACTGGTTATGTGGCTGAAGCATAATATCTCTATTTATTGGTCTACCATAACTTAAAAATAGTATATCACCATCAAAAGCAATCAGAAAGGATAACCACTGAATTATTTCATAATGGTTTCCTCTGGGAAGAAAAGTAGGATTGAGGCATGGGAAAAATATTAACTTTTTCGCCTACATTTTTGTTTGTATGTATTGCTTGAGATCCTAAAAACCAGAATATATACATGAACTACTTATATAAATTTTAAAAATCATTTAAAATAATATTAGCTTATAAAAACTTAGAAATACAAAAAGGCATAAAATAAAAATCATCCAGAGAGAGTCACTCTTAACTTTTTGACTTATGTATTCTCAGTTTTATAGTGTATACGTTTGTTTTTCAGGTTAGAAGTATGATGTATATATATCTGGATAATGCATTTCTACACTGTATCATAAAACTTTTTTGTATAGCATTCTTTTTTTTAAAATATGGTTTGTAAAAAATGTATATTATTACATCATGTGAATATAATATAATTTATTTGACCCCGTCTCAAAAAACAAGAAAAATAAACAAAAATTAGCTTGGCGTGGTAACGTGTGCCTGTAGTCCCAGCTACTAGGGAGGCTGAGGTAGGAGGATCACTTGAACCTGGGAAAGGGAGGTTGCAGTGAGCTGAGACTGTGCTACTGCACTCCAGCCTGGGCATCAGAGTGAGATTCCATCTCAAAAAACAAAACAAAACAAAACAAAACAAAACAAAAAAAACCTGACCCCCTTTCTGTTTTTTAAAAAAAGGTATTTAGTTTATTTTTGAAAATATAAATAACATGGGTAAATGAATGAGATTATTTCCTTGCAGTCTTGGAAGTTACTGAATCAAAGGGCATGCATTTTCCTAAGGTTCTGGATGTTCGTCCAATATGCTTGTTACGACTGCATGAAAGTGCCCATCACATGTAACACTTACTAATACTGCTCATTAGTACTTAATTTTTCTTTGATAATTTGATAGAAAAAGGTATCCTATTGTTTTAATCTGGAAGTCTTTGATTACTAGGTAAAACTGAGTTTTTCAGTCCCCTTTTGTGAATTCATTCATGTTCTATATTCATTTTTCACTAGGTTTTAATAATTGCATGTACTTTTATTTATCTAGAATATCAACCTCTTTTCTGGCATATTTATTGCAAACATGCTTCAGTTTTCTTTAAAATTTTCTTTTTAATCTACTTAAGTTTTAAAAATATATATATATACACATATATATTTCCGTTTGTAGTTGGCTTAAATGGTGTTTCACTTAAAAACAATTTTTTTTTTTTTTGAGATGGAGTCTCGCTCTGTCGCCCAGGCCTGGAGTGCAGTGGTGCAATCTCGGCTCACTGCAACTTCCACCTACCGGGTTCAAGTGATTCTCCTGCCTCAGCCTCCCAAGCAGCTGGGACTACAGGTGCGTGCCACCATGCCCGGCTAATTTTTGTATTTTTAGTAGAGATGGGGTTTTACCATATCGGTCAGGCTGGTCTCAAAAACTCCTGACCTCATCAGTCTGCCTCGGCCTCCCAGAGTGCTGGGATTACAGGTGTGAGCCACTGAGTCCCGTGAAAATTTTTTTTTCAAGAGACACTGTCTCACTATGTTGCTCACACTGGCCTGAACTCCTGGGCTCAAGTGATCCTGCCTCAGTCTCCTGAGTAGCTAGGCTACAGGCACCTGGTTAAATGCTGTTATGCTTTAAAGTCCTTTACCATTTCCTAGATATTCACCGATAGTTATTTTTTACCCCCACACTTCAGTTTTCATAGTTACACCTTTAATTCAGTGCTTCTTAACCTTCTGGGGTTATAGATTCCATTCAGAATCTCATGAAAGTGTCAGGCTTTTCCAGAACTTTATGAACCACCATGTTAATAACCCCTGTATTGGCTGGACACAGTGGCTCATGCCTGTAATCCCAGGATTTGGGAGGCCGAGGCGGGTGGATCACTTAAGGTCAGAAGTTTTAGAGCAGCCTGAGTAACGTGGTGAAACCCTGTCTCTACTGAAAATATTAAAAAAATTAGCCAGGCATGGTGGTGCACACCTGTAATCCCAGCTACTTGGGAGGCTGAGGTAGGTGAATCACTTGAGCCAGGGAGGTAGAGGTAGCCGTGAGCCGAGATCGTGTCACTGCACTCCAACCTGAGCAATAGAGTGAGACTGTCTCAAAAAAACAAAAACAAAAACAAAAAACAAACCACTGCATTAATCTACCCGTAATTAATCTGGTATATTATGAAGGGTTAACCTTCTCCCCTCCCCCAAAGAGCACTTGTCCTAACACGATTCATAAAACCATCTTTTCTATCCCCAATAATTTGTGACAGAACATTTATCATTTACTAAATTCTCATAAATTTCAGAAATAATAATAATTATTATTTTTTGAGACGGAGTTTCATTCTTGTTGCCCAGGCTGGAGTGCAATGCTGTGATCTCGGCTCACGGCAACCTCCGCCTCCTGGGTTCAAGAGATTCTCCTGCCTCAGCCTCCCGAGTAGCTGGGATTACAGGCATGTGCCACCACACTTGGCTAATTTTGTATTTTTAGTAGAGATGGGGTTTCTCCATATTGGTCAGGCTGGTCTTGAACTCCGCCCGCCTTGGCCTCCCAAAGTGCTGGGATTACGGGCATGAGCCACTTCACCCAGCCCAGAAAAGATTATTTTAACCAATATAATAGCTATCATAAGCCTTTGCTCCATAAAGGTATAGCTAAAATGCTTAATAGGGCCAGGCATGGTGGCTTATGCCTGTAATCCCAGCACTTTGGGAGGCCAAGATGGGAGGATTGCTTGAGCCCAGGAATTTGAGACCAGCCTGGGCAACAGGGTGATATTCCCATCTTTACAAAAAAGAAAAAAAATTGTCAGGCATGGTGTTGCATGTCTGTAGTCCCAGGTACTTGGAAGGCTGAGGTGGGAGGATTGCTTGAACCTGGGAGGCTGAGGCTGCAGTGAGCCATAATCATGCCACTGTCTTCCAGCCTGGGCAATATACAACAAGACCCTGTCTCAAAAAACAAAATAAAATAAAACACTTACTACTCAGTATTACATTCTTCTTTAGAAATACCATATTCAAACCTGAAGCCTATTATCTTTACATATGTTGTAATTAGTATTTAACAACCTAGATTTCAAACTCACTGGGAAGATAAGACATTACTAACATGTGTTGATAATTCAGCTTTAGCATCATGTCACTGGGTAACAGCTTATGATCTTTTTTCTTTTTCTTTTGAAAAATTTCAAAGTTTCAGAGAAGTCAAAAGGATAGCAAAATGAATACCCTAAGCCCATCCTTCATGCTGATTCTTAATGAACATTTTCTTCCACAATATTCTTTTTCCATATAAGCTCATATTTTGCTGAATCATTTGAAAGTAAACTGCAGACAGTATGAGATCTCACCCTTCAATATTTCAGCAAATATATTCTAGAAGAATAGTTTACTTTTTAAAATATTTTACTTAAAAATATTTTTTACAGGTATGCCTACCACCTACATTCTACCATTAACATCTTTCTGTAATTGCTTTGTCACATTTCTATCCATCCATTAATCCATCTTATTTTTAGTACATTTCCAAGTAACCTGAAGACATCAGAATACTTCCCAAATACATCAGCAAATAGGCTTATCACTACTTACAATTCATGATTTGTTTTTTCCTTTTGATGTAAAATTTACAATGAAATGTAGGTATATACCTCCTGAGTTTTGATAAATGAACATATGTAACTAAAACCCTTATCAAGATACAGAACATTACTCTAGAAAGTTACTTCATATGAAAATACAGAATGGCTCATGAATTTATATGCCGTTCTTGTGCAAGAGTATGACTGCTTTATTGGGGGAAAAAAAAGGTTTCACAAGGCTTATTTTCTCTAAAAAAATTACCTGTTCACAATACCTCTCTTCTTTAGTGTGCTGAAGGAGGCAGCTGAATTATACATAAAGTTGAGATGGTCATTTATGAGATTCACTAGAACAGGGTTCTGCAAACTGCAAATATGTCTGCCATCTGATTTTGTGAATGAAGTTTTACTGGAACACAGGTAAGCTCATTCATTCATGTATTGTCCATGGCTGGTTTTGCACTGCAACTATGGCAGAGTTAAGTAATTATGACAGACAAAATGGTTTGGAAAGCTGAAAATTATTTTGGCTCTTTACAGTAAGTTTGCCCACCTCTGCTCTAGAAGATGATTTGGTATCTTTCACTGTTTCAGATAAATAATGAAATGAATAAACATACGCCAATAGAATATAGAAACAAAATTTATGATCAAAGCTGAGACTAATTACATTGAGGCCAATGTAATTGCCTTCTGAGAGTCGGCAGCTTTGTTTTACTAATCACAGTAATTGTGTGTGGGGCGTGGGGTGGATGTAATGAATAAAAAGTCCTATAAATTAAAAAGCAATTTATTTTTCTCTTAATGAGATAGAACACTACAAGAAACAAAGGTTCATTTAATAAATATATTGAATATGTAGAAATATAACCTAATTCCCTATTTTAGTCAGAGGAGAGACAAGAAAAAGAAAAAGAAGAATAGCGAAATAAGATACCAGGTGCAGAAATACATTGTAGTGGTTGGAGGTAGAAACAGGAACACACAAAAAGAAAAAATCTACAAAGTAGACTCTAGCACAGTGTCTAGTACAAAAATAGATGCTCAGTAAGTATAATGACTGAATGAGTATAAATTAAAGGGCCTTTCTCACTTATTCTGCAGGCTTTAAACTCAGTCATCATCTCTCATTAGTGTCCTTTGAAATGCTAACTTGTCTGCAGAGTTCACTCACTTCCCTAAGAATGAGATGCAGACAGGGAAGGAGCCCTCCTCAGGGCTTAAAATTCAGCAAAGGACTGTCTGGTCTGTGTTTAAAGGTTCTAAGTAGCTATTTATTTTGTTTCTCGTTCCAAAGTATCTCATTCCTACAGAAGGTCACAGGAGACTGTAATGCTTTATAAAATTACTGGCCAACATAAATCAGTTCAGAACATTGTAGAATATGTACAACTTTAGGACACTGTGGTCTCTTCTCCTGGGAATAATAAATATCTCCTAAATTACACAGAGACAATTTCTATTATGGGGTAAGGGGTACTCTGTAAAAATGCACTAATGAGGAAAAGAAAATTTATTATCACAAAGACTCAGTGTGCTCAAAGGGAGGACACAAAATTAAGACACAGAGGTGCATGTTTTTAAAGATATGTAAATATAGCAGTGGTTCTCCATCTTTAGGACCTGTAGGGCCTGTTAAAACCAAGCCTGCTGATGTCCAGCCCAAGTTTCTGATTTAGTAGCTCTGGGGTTGGGCTAGGATTACCAGGAAAAAAAAAAAAAAAAAAAAAAGACAATGCCTAGTTAAATTTGAATTTCAGAGAAACAACAAATACTTTTTATGCTCCAAATACTGAAATGTTTTATTTTTATTTGCTAAACCTAGCAACCCTAGAATTTGCATTTCTAACAGATTTTGAAGAGATGCTGATGCTGCTGGTCTAGGGACCTTACTTTGAGAACCACTGAGATATAGGATATTATGTTATCACCAAAAAGGAAAAATTGGGGGAGGAGGGAAGGTGAGTAGATCAGGCAAGAGTTCCTGAAGGACAAGGACAGGGGATGGGTCTTTAAGGGTGCCTAGAAGCTAGCCAGAAGAATATTAAGAGGGGAAAGCTTTGAGCAAAGGGGCAGAAATGTCAGAAAATGCCTGACATTTAAGGAAATTACAAGAAGCTTGGTGTTGCTGGTGCATAAAGTTTAATGAAGGTGGTGTTAGATAAAACTGGAAAGACAGAGGCCAGAGAGTACTAGGTCCTTATGTACCCTGTGAATAAGCACTTAGGGGTTTACACTGTAAAACAATCAGCTTACATGATGGGGAGCAATTTAAAGGGTTTTAGGCAGAGCAGGGACTTGATCAGATTTGCATTTTTAGAAAGATCATTTGGGTGGAGGATCAGAAGCACTATGATTATGTGTTCAAGAGTATTTGAAATACCGTTATTTATGGAAACCATTTTTAATATAATTCTGCACAGACACAGACTGCTGGAGGCTATACCAGAGAAGGGAAGGAAATAGAACAATACTCAATTCATTATGAAATTTATTTAAGGTCCCTGCTAACTTGGCTCTCACTGATGCCAGAAGTACAGCATTTAATTTTTAAAAACACCAAATAAAAATGCATGGTTACAAAACTTTGTAGTTGGCTAGAATATATTATTTTGAAAATTTATTCTTAAGCCTCTTTGATAATCTGTAAAATTATTTAAAATAAGACTTAAAAACAGGTACTGACATTATAAAAGCGTTCATGCTAATCAAATAATTTCCGCAAAAAAAATTAAAAAAATTAAAAAGTAGCTTCCTATTTACTGCCTATTTCATTTCTTAAGCATGTTTATGGGCCTTTCTACTTGTCAGAAATAAAACTCATTACAATGATGATGCCAGACTTAAGGCTCAAAGGAGGCTAGGTGCTAGTCCGGAGCTGGAAATCCTGGAGGCCAGTCCTATTTTACCAGAGTGGACCTAACGGGCTTTAATTTTCTCAACTGTGAACTGAGTTAGAAGAGATCATTTGCAAAGCAGCATTCTCATTTACTAATTTCCAACATCAGCAAAGGACATCTTCACCTATTTTCAGACAATATTTAAGGATAAAAATGTGTTGTCTAGTGTGTATATAAAATACATTAAAATATTCTTGGCTTAATCAAGGTCACTTATCTAAGATTCAACATGTCCTGAAAGACCAAGCGTCAAAAGGAATATTCCTTTCAGTGTTCTTTTTGAGTATATTTCGCTATGATACCAACAACTATATTAGCAAAAGATATAAAAGTGCTGCCTTGGAATGACACTTGTTTTCACTGCATGTTCACAGTACAAAACCTGTGACCCACCAGTTTTGCGGCTGAAGGGAAAAGTTAATTTGTCCATATTTCATTTTTCCTTATTTAAAATAAGGAAATAATCGATAGGAACAAACGCTAAAATCTACAGTGGCCATGAAGCAAGCACCACTTAGAAACCTCTGTATTAACGTTAGGAGCCAAGTTTTATTACCCAAAAGGGCAGGCTGGCTGAGGAGTGGAGGCTGGACGCATCATCTCAGCAAATGACTACTGCAAAGCTGCCACGCTTGCACAAACTCAGGGATGTTTATTAGCTTGCTTCCTCAAAACGAGTTTAGGTCATCAGCAGAGATTAAAGCAGGCCTCTACACCACTCTATGAAATCCTGACTCCTAGGGCGCATTCTGGGACAGTGAGTGTCCACGAAGACCATACCTGTAATCGCAAAGCTTGGGTTGACAGCCACACTGCTGCTTGCAAACCATACAGTAACTGCACAGGGGCACGTTGCCCCTGATCCAGTGGTGGGGCATGGCGTCCAGGACCTTGGTGTCATTCTTGAGCATAATCTCCTTGCACTGGAAGCGCCTGTCGGCCTTCTTGAGGCAGCCCTCGTCCACCCGGAGCCCGCAGCAGTCGCAGAAAGCGCCCTGCAGAATGTGCTGCGCGCACACGCAGCAGTAGGTGGGCTGGCTGAACAGGTCCGTGTCGCGCCACCCGTGCTTGCTCTTGCGGAAGATGTCTCTGCGGTGCAGCAGCCGGCGCGACCGCTGGAGGCTACACCAGAAGGTGATGAACACCGGCAGCAAGACCGAGCACAGCGTCCACAAGATCAGGTGCCCGTCCGCAAACAGGCCCTCGGAGGGCGAGCCCGGCGCCGGCCGCCTCTCCGCTTCCATCTTCTCCAAGGACGACACCTAACAAGGAAAGAAACAGGCGGTGCACCCCGGGCTCGCCATCCCTTCCCTGCTCCCCTCCTGCCTTTCTGGGGCCAACCCAGGCGCCCTCAGTCCAGGTGTCTCCACTCTCCCAAGGGCGGCACTGCGCCTCGTACCCCGGTCGCCTGGGACCTGCCGCGCCGAGAAGGCGACGTCCAGCCGTCACGCTCTAGTCCCCACTCCCCAACCCGCCCCACGTCGGGAGCGCGTCCAGGAGCCGAAGGCTGCTGCTGCTGCCGCCGCTGCCGCCGCCTCACCTCCCCGCCGGTCTGACCCACGGAAGGGCGCAACACACAGGGGCAAGCTGCCCTCCACCGAAAGGCCGGGCGTTCAGGCCACGCGACGCCAGTCGGCGCCCGTAACCGTCGACCCAGGCCTCGCACTCCCCTCCGGGGCGCAGTCTCCTCCCCACCCGCCCCCACGCGCGGCCCGGCGCCCTCGCCCGTCTCGGGAGGCTTCCGGAGACCTGCGCCGCGCCGGTTCTCGAGCCCTACCTCGCGCGAGCGGAGGCGCGGCTCTTGGCCAGGCCTTGGCCGCCCTCGCGCAGGAGGAGTGCGAAGCTGGGCCGCGGGCGGCGATGAAGCCGGGGCGGGGAAGAAACGCTTGAGGCTCCAGCCGCACGCACGCCGACCCGGCGCGCGGGGCCGCGAGCTGGAGGCGGGGCCTGCGGCTGCGAGCCCCTGGTTGGGCGGAGCCAAGGCTGACGGGCGGGGCGGAGGTGTGAGGTGGGAGGGGAGACGGACCTGCCTGAGGGGGCGGGGCCGTGGAGGAGGCTGGAGATGGATGGAAGGGGCAGGGCACTGCGGCTGGGGGCAGGGCCTAGGGGAAGGGGGCGGAGTAACTGGGGCGTTTGAGATGATGGAGGATTGAACGCCAAAAATTCGTAATCATAGAAAATTCCGGAGCGCCGCGGCGGGGGAGGGCCGCGCTCGGCGCCGGCACGAGTGCCGCTGGCCTGAGCCGAACCTCTAGCCTATACTGCCGCCCCCGCGGAAGCGTACGCCGACTGGGAAGTGAAGTGGCATGAGGCGAAATGAGGCGGAATGAGGCGGAATGAGGCCTGCGCGGCGCCGCCGCCCGCTCTCGCCGCGGCCGGCTGAGGTAGGTGCGGCGGCCGCAGTCGCGAAGACCCGAGAGCTCCTCCGCTGAGGACCGGCGGGCGGGCGTGGAGGCCTAGGGCGAGCGGGGTAGCCGCCCGCTCGTCGCCGCTGACCCGGAGCCCGGCCGCGGTTTCCGCTCCCTCCGGTGGCGGGCGGGCCTCCCATCCACCACCCCGCCGCCAGCGCCCGCCAGCGTCCGAGGCCGGGGAGAAAGGGGAGCAGCGGGAGCCGGAGACCACCGGAGATGGGAGCACGCCTCGTGCTGCTGTAGTCTAGCCGCAGGTTCCGGAGGAATGCCCGCTCCCGGCTGGAGTGCTACCGGCCCCACACGGACCTGAGCCGCGACCACGCGGGCTGCAGCCTGCAACACATCAGGGACCCGGAGAACGCGGACGCGAAAGCGCCGCCGCTCAGCACTCCCGAAGAAACACGGAGTCCGGAGAAGCACAGGCGCCGCCCCAGCGCGCACAGCTCCACTCAGCAGCTTCCTTCCTACCACACACGTAGGAATGGGAGCCGAGGACTTGATGCTTGAGGACTTCCTCTAGCATAAAAGATGGAAAGAAAACACACACAGAAGCAAGGGACCAAAGGAACAGAAAAGAAGCAGAGATCATAGGAAAACTGCGAATAAATACCTGATAATATCTTCCAAAGGATTAGAGAAGACATAACATTCATTAAGAATGCACATATAGATGTATATATATATATACGTGTATGTGTGTATGTATATGTGTGTATATATATGCATATGTGTGTGCGTATATGTGTATTAACTGTAGAAGATAAAGGTAGACACTAGTAAAAGTGGTAAGAGCAGATTTACAATGTCCTATTGTAATAGGGAAGAAGGTACCTCGTGAACAGGACTGAACTTTGTGCAGAAGTGACGGTGTTTCAGAGGAGGAGAGAAAGGAGTATGAAGGGGATGAGCAGGAACTCAGTAGTCGGAAAGTGAAACTTGTGAAGGGTGGGTCAATGTAGATACGGTTAGGCGACAGTGCCTATTAGATGACTGTTATGGGAGTCAGGGTCCTATCCTCCCACGGGAACTGGGAGATAGGCCCTTTGCTTCCTGGTGATTGCATGTTGGAGGAATGGCTTTCAGGTTCTTGAGAAAGACACTCCTGATGTGTAGGAGACATTACATCCCAGAGAGAGGAAGGATTCACAATTGTTTAGTTTTTTGTTGTTGTTGTTAACTATTTAAGAAAGGGACATCAGGGGCTGCTTGTAAGGTGTTGCCAATAACGAACAGTGAGTTCTTTTGGCAGCTTTCCAAGGCAGACACTTTAGGGGGTCTGGGGTCATCCTATGGATGCAGCTTTGAGTAGTTAAAAATTGTGTGTTTAGGCCGCGTGCGGTGGCTCACGCTTGTAATCCCAGCACTTTGGGAGGCCAAAGCAGGTGGATCACGAGGTCAGGAATTCAAGATCAGCCTGGCTAAGATGGTGAAACCCTGTCTCTACCAAAAATAGAAAAAATTAGCTGGGCGTGGTGGTGGGCGCCTGTAATTCCATCTACTCGGGAGGCTGAGGCAGAGAATTGCTTAACCCGGGAGGCGGAGGTTGCAGTGAGGTGAGATCACACCACTGTACTCCAGCCTGGGCGACAGAGCGAAACTCCATCTCAAAAAAAAAAAGAAACAAACTATGTGTTTAAGCCTTTTAATATGGGCGAAGGATGAACCATACCCTTTTTTGCTGAAGTCTGTAGATGTCATAGGCCGAGGTGGAGGCCTAGTTGAAAAGGGGGCTCAGGGAAGCCTGGCTAGAGCTTGGTCAAGGAGGGGATCTTCATCAGTCTGTATGTATATACACGGCATGTGGACATGCATAGACACATGTATAGTGGAGGCTGTCTTACGAGGATTCTGCACAACTCAAGTCCCCTAATAGGAACAGACTTGGGGAGGTCACTCTTGAGGCTTTTTGTGGTATTGTGGCTACTGGGAGACCTGAGGAGGGTTCTGGCCACTAGCAGACTCATTTCATTCACCCCTTGGAATCTGCTCAGGCCTTGGACTTCCGTATAATAGTAACTTCACCCCCAATGATCCTCCATGTTCCTTGCTGATGCTGTGATTGCTCCTCCAAGTTCTCCACCTATGTCCATCTGAGCACTTGGTATTTCTACTCTAGTGTAAGAAGGTCCTGGTCCCAAGTCTCCTCCCAAACATTTATTCCAATTGATCATCCAGATGCCCCTCCTTTGCCATCTCTCTTTGTTCCAGCAAAGAACACCACCCGTCAGGGAGATACAGTGGACTGCTTGTCCTCATCCTGACTCCCCTTTTCTCTGGTACTCACAGGCCTCAGTGAGTCTCTCGGTCTCTGGCTGCAGCACAGGTCCTGGACTTGAGCGCATCTCTCCATCCCCACCTCCACTACTCCCCTGGTCCAACTGTCGCCATTCTCACCCTCGAATCACTGTCACAGCCTCCCAGCTTGTATCCCTGCTTTACCATGATCCCTGCAGGCTGCCTCTGAACTCTTACATTGAAATGAAACTCTTATTGTGGGGAGAACCCCTCCATCCTCAGACCCCTGGTACCCTTTACTCACTTCCCACTCTGGCCATCGTTCACTGAGTTCAGGCCACTCTGGCCTCTGCATGGTCCTCACGCCCACCAGACTTGTGCCCCCTTCAGGGCTATTGTCAGTTCCACCCCCTTTTCCTACAGAGTTCTCCATGTCTTCATTCTTCAGGTGCTGCCTCCTGACAGAGGCCTTGCTGACCACCCCTGCCAAGATTGCCCCACTCTCCCACGTGTCACTCCCCTCCCTGCCCTCTTGATCTTTCTCCATGAAACTGGCACTTCCTTACATGCTGTGTTGTGTGTTTAATTATATTGTTTAATTATATTTGCCTGCCTTAAACGAGAGCAACATGAAGACAGGGACTTTCTAATCTTCGTTGCTATCTCCAACCAAAGCACTTGTTTTTTTGTTTGTTTGTTTTTGAGATGGAGTCTCACTTTGTCTACCAGGCTGGAGTGCAGTGGCACGATCTAGGCTCACTGAAACCTCTGCTGCCCGGGTTGAAGCGATTCTCTTGCCTCAGCCTCTCAAGTAGCTGGGATTACAGGTGCCTGCCACCATACCCAGCTAATTTTTGTATTTTTAGTAGAGACAGGGTTTCACCATGTTTGCCATGCTGCTCTTGAACTGCTGACCTCAGGTGATCCACCTACTTCAGCTTCCCAAAGTGCTGGGATTAGAGGTGTGAGCCACTGCACCTGGCCAAACCAAAGCACGTCTGCTGCTGCTGTCCCTGTCATTGATCTATGTGACTTCCCCTCCACCACAGTTATTCAAAATGTCTCTTGCTGCTTCCCTTCCACCAGGATAACACCCATCTGTGCTCACTGCCTAATGAGGGGACATCACTGGTGTCTAAGTATACTAACTGTGGGAACCTCGGTTTAATTTTGTGAGAGAGAAGTCCCTTACAGCCTCCTCAGTTTTCCAGTGAGAAATGTTTTTGGTGATTTTGAGAGGAGATGGGGAAAAGTGATGTGGGGTTCCCCAATGTTGTCCCAGGGGATTTCTTAGAAATTTCTCCCTACATCACTCTTGTAGTGAAATAAAACCATTTCCATGCAATTTATCAATTTTGTTTTTTGAAAAATACCCGCTATTTGAATCTAAATATTATAGAAATTTCTCTTTAAACATTCCCTTTTACTTTATCCCAAAATAAATTTCCCTTTGCTTAAAATCTTTCTTTTTTTATTTTTCGAGACAGAGTCTCACTCTGTTGCCCAGGCTGGAGTGCAGTGGTGCTATCTCGGCTCAATGCAAGCTCCGCCTCCCAGGTTCATGCCATTCTCCTGCCTCAGCCTCCTGAGTAGCTGGAACTACAGGCGCCCACCACCCACGCCCGGCTAATTTTTTTTTGTATTTTTAGTAGAGACGGGGTTTTGCTGTGTTAGCCAGGATGGTCCTGATCTCCTGACGTTATGATCTGCCCGCCTTGGCTTCCCAAGGTGCTGGGATTGCAGGTGTGAGCCACCATGCCCGGCCAAATATTTCAACAAATACATACGCCAAAAAATGATGCTTTAACTTATAAGTTAAAACTGTTGGGACTATAACTCTAGAAAAAATATTGCAGTTGAGTACTGAAAGTCTTTATTGATAAATGAAATCTACTTTCAAAGTATAATACAATAATTTTGTAGAGGATAAAATAGAAATTGTTCTCGTAGGAGATTAATACATAAATAATATTTACAGAGCATTGTCTTGAGAAATGCAGTTTGATGATGTTTCAGTTTGAGCAAAAGATGAGGCTCTCATTATGGCATTTCTTTTGCTGCTAATGAGAGAGAATCCAGACTTTGCTGATGTGCTCCAGGATCTCCTGTATTGTTTAGATTTGGAGGAATTGACCATGAAGGAGCTGGCTGCGGCATTAGGAGGGGAAGGTGGAAACTTCAATGCAGGAAGGGACGCCCCTGGATCCACTGGCCTCAGGGACCCTCGGATGGAGTTAATGTGGGAGAACCTAGCCTGGCAGCTCTGGAGGCCTGAGTGGAAGGGAGAGAACAGTGCTGCCCTAAGACCCAGGCCCTCCTGGGGGAGGGAGCAGCAGGGCTTGGCTCTTGGCTGCCTGGCTGGTGTGGAAAAGCTCCTAGTGACGGGGTGACTCCCATGGCCTCTTCCAGGGACTCCAGCATTGGTAACATCTCTGCCAGCCCTTCTTGTTGCTTGGAGAGTCTGGATCGCTCTTCTTTTTTCTCCTCTTCTTCTTTAAACCTCTCTTCTTTCAGTTCTTGAACCAGGGATGTGATTTTTTAAATTTTTTATGTATTTTATTTTATTTTATTTTTTGAGATGGAGTCTTGCTCTTGTCGCCCAGGCTGGAGTGTAATGGTGCGATCTCAGCTCACTGCAACCACCACCTCCCAGGTTCAAGCAATTCTCCTGCTTCAGCCTGCTGAGTAGCTGGGATTACAGGCATCTGCCACCGTGCCTGGCTAATTTTTGTATTTTTAGTAGAGATGGGTTTCACCATGCTGGCCAGTCTGGTCTCGAACTCCTGACTCAGGTGATCTGTCCACCTCGGCCTCCCAAACTGTTGAGATCACAGGCATGAGCAGCTCTGTCCTGCTAGGATGTGCATTTCTGTATCAGCATGGCGTTGGTGCTGTTCACCTTGTAAGCATCTACAAAACTGGGGATGTTTAAATACTTTTTTGTACCCGACATCCTCTAAATATCCCTCAATCTCTGCAGTGTTTTTTGTTTTCTTTCTTTTTTTTTTTTGCATCACCGTGCTTGCCCGTGAGTTGGCGTTTCTCCTCAATGTGTGAATCCAGTGTTTCTGCAAGCTGCTTTTCATACTGCTTTTCATATGTTACATGGAGTCGGTTCCTAACAGGTTGACTAAGGAAATGAAAGCCACGAAAGTTAGGATAGTAGTTCCCTCTGATGGGGGAGAAGGTGTACCAAACAACTGGGCACACCAGAGCTCCCAATCTTCAATATGTTAACATGGGTGGTGGGTACACAGGTGTTTGTTTTATTGTTATTTTAAAAACTGTGTGTATATGTTTTACAAACTCTTCTGTATGTGTGACAGATTTCAAAATATAAACATTAAAAAGTTTGAATAAAGAATTACCTAGGGATCTTGTTAAGAAGGCAGATTCCTAGCTCCATTTCATATTCTGATTCCAGAGACCTGGTCAGTACCACAGAATCCACATTTTTTTTTTTTTTTTTTTTTTGAGACGGAGTTTTGCTCTTGTGGCCCAGGCTGGAGTGCAGTGGTGTGATCTCGGCTCACCACAACCTCCACCTCCCGGGTTCAAGTGATTCTCCTACCTCAGCCTCCCGAGTAGATGGGATTACATGCATGCGCTACCATGTCCAGCTAATTTTGTATTTTTAGCAGAGATGGGGTTTCTCCATAGTGGTCAGGCTGGTCTAGAACTCCTGACCTCAGGTGATCCGCCCACCTTGGCCTCCCAAAGTGCAGGGATTACATGCATTAGCCGTCGTGCCTGGCTTTTCTTATTTATTTTTTGAGACAGAGTCTTGCTCCGTTCCCAGGCTGGAGTGCAGGTACACCCAGCTAATTTTTGTATTTTTAGTAGAGGTGGGGTTTCACCATATTGGCCGGGGTGATCTAGAACTCCTGACCTTGCGATCTTCCCGCCTTGGCCTCCCAAAGTGCTGGGATTACAGGCATGAGCCACCGCGCCCGGCCCAGCATCTACATTTTTAAATGATGCTAATGCAGGTGGTTTGAAAACCAGTCTGAGGTGTGTCATATACTCCATGCCCACGTTACACGGAGTCCATTCCTAGCACATTGACTAAGTCTAAATAAAACTAAGACCCATCACAGCCTGTGAGGTGTGGATACAGCAGTGTCTTCCCATGGAGGCTGTAGAAAGTGACTTGAGGACTCGGGTCATGGGGTGGCAGCCCCACCATCTATCTCCTCATCCAGCTTCCCAGGGTTCAGTCCAGAGTACAGCTCCACAGAGGATTGCAGCCCCTCCATGACACTGCAGTCCCGCACAGCCAATGATGGGACTGAGATCACTGTGTTTTAACTTGGTCAACCAAGTCAGCTTCAACTGAAATTAAACCATTAAAGAGAGGCTTTGTCTTATTCTGCTACTTCTCTGAGAACCTTGCCCTGTAAATCGTGTTAAAATGCAGATTCTGATTTCCTTTCTCAGGGAAGAGGCCTGATAACCTGCATTTCTAAGAAGCTCCAAGATGTTGCTGCTAGTTCCAGGACCACACTTTTGAATTTGGAGGCTGAGGTATTTAAGAGTCTGTATTGTGAAAATGGAGGGGCAGTGTAATGAAGTTGGAGGAGTGTTAGATGGGATTGTGAGGCCTGGGAACAGAATGGGGACCTCAGACATCTGTGTCCCCTTATGCTTGTCACTTCACTTCCTTGGACTCAGGTTAGATGAGATCTCTAAAATACAACTTCTTCTTTGGTAGCCTGCACAGTTTGTGAAAGTGTCGTTGTCTTCTATGAATCCTAGCTGATGCAGAACCCTTAAATTAGTTTAGATTTGAAGATATAACAAAATAATATACTTTAAAAAAGTGACAGACTGGGCATGGTGGCTCACACCTGTAATCCCAGTACTTTGGGAGACTGAGGCAGGTGGATCCCTTGAGGCCAGGAGTTCGAGACCAGCCTGGCCAACAGGGTGAAACCCCATCTCCACTAAAAATAAAAAATTAGGTGGGCATGGTGGTGCGTGCCTGTAATCCTAGCTACTCAGGAACCTGAGGCAGGAGAATCGCATAAGTCCAGGAGGTGGAGGTTGCAGTCATTAAGATAAAGCCGAGATTGTTCTGCTGCACTCCAGTCTGGGTGACAGAGTGAGACTCCGTCATACACACACACACACACACACACTCTGACAGGTTTTCCCCCATCCCCATTATAGAGTATTTGAAAAAGTAAAAAGGAAAGTAAAAAGGAAGAAAAGAATCACCATCTCTCACTCCAAAGTCACCCTATGTTTGAACATTTTGGTCTATTCCATTATTTTCTGTGGAAACTGATTTACTTTTTTGTATGCGTACTTTTGATGATGTAGTAGATATAGTTTCTGTGTGGCTCTTATTTAGCATTACAAAGTAACTTTTATATGTTATTAAAAAGTCTTATTTAATGGCTACATTATACTCCATTCTATGAATATAGCTTACAGTGTGTATAGCCTTACTTTTGTTGTAGCTATTTCTAATATTTTGCTATTATAAATAATTCCTCTGTTTAGGGTTATTTCCTTAGATTCTCACATTTAGTTAAAGAATTTGAAAAGTTCAAGGCTTATGGGAAAGCTTTTAAGAATAATAGTCTCTCTTTGCTAAGTAAGCTTTTATCTGGAAAATTTACCTGTGTAGGGACAGATTAATGGAAATTACCACACCTGAGGAGATACACTCTTAATTCACTAAAAGCAATAATAATAATATTTGTGGCCAACCTGTGTTGATAAGTTAGTAGGTTCGAGGCACTGTGCTAAGTTTATCATCCTTATTTTACAGATGAAGAAAACCTGCTTGATATCATACAGTCAGGAGTCAACTGAGTTGCGGCTTTGAACATAGGTTTATCTGATGCCAAAGTTTGTGATGCTCTTCAACTATTTAGGGTACCTCAGAGTGTGGATTTTGAATCACCTGTATCAGCATCATTTAAAAATATGGATTCTGTGGTGCTGACTAGGTCTCTGAAGTCAGAATATGAAGTGGAGCTAGGAATCTACCTTCTTAACAAGTTCCCTAGGTAATTCTTTATTCAAATGTTTTTTGTTTATATTTTGAAATGTGCCACACATGCAGAAGAGTTTATAAAACACATATACACAGTTTCAAAAGTAATAGTAAAATCCACTACCCAGGTTAACATATTGAAGATTCGAGAGCTCTTGTGTGCTCACTTGTTTGATACACCTTCTCCCCCATCAGAGGGAACTACTCTTGTAACTTTTGTGGCCTTCATTTCTTTGCTTTTCTTTATAGATCCCTAAGGGTATCCCTGAATGATACAGTTTTGTTTGAAAGACTGAAAAGCCCAAACCTGGCACTTTTGGGAAATAGCAGTAAATCATTGATATGTGAAGGTTCCCAGCAGGAGGTAAGCTGAGCAGTGTCTTTGGGACAGAGTATGGATTCAGCTTCCTTGAAAAGATTCCACCTGGGGAAGTCAGTGGGCAAGGTCTTGGAAAGATTGTTAATCACAGTGAGGGCATCTGAACAGGGCTGTGGTTTGAACAGCTGGCAAAAATATGGCTGAAAAGGAAGGAGGCTGGTTTTTATCTTTGCAGCTCAGCTCACTAGGACTTCCCTCGAGTTCTCAGAAGAAGATTAACAAAGAATGCCTCTCAGGGAGACATGAGTATCTTCAGCTAATCCATGCAATGGGGCATGGGAATGGGGACATGGGAGAACAGGGAGCCCATCAGCTCCTGATTCTTGTCTTAATCCATTTTCTGTTGCTATAGCAGAATACCTGAGATTTGGAAATTTAGAAAGAAAAGTGGTTCATCTGGCTTATAGCTGTGGAGGCTGGGAAGTCTAAGGGCGTGGTAGCAGCCTCTGGTGAGGGCTTTTGCTCTGTGTCATAACATGAACAAAAAGCCGAAGGGCAAGCCAGTGTGTGCAAAAGAGACCACAAGAGTGAGCCAAGCTCAATTTTATAACAACCTGCTTTCAGGAGAACTAACTCACTCCTGTAAGAACTAATTCACTCTCAAGAGAACAAACTCACTCCGCAAATAACAGCCTTATCCATTCAGAAGGTTAGTGCTCCCATGACCTAGTCACCTCTTAAAGGCCCCAGCTCCCAATACCATCAGTGGCAATAAAATTTCGACATGAGTTTTGGCAGGGACACTCAGATCATAGCAGTCATTAAGATAAAGTACAAATAAGCTTCCGTATCAGGCTCAACAGGCAGCCTGTCGTTAGACTGCCTTCTTTCACTGAGTAATATGCATTTAAGTTTCCTCCATGTCTTTTCATGGCCTGATAGCTCTTTTTTTTTTTTTTTTTTTTTTAGTGCTGAATAATATTCCATTGTCTGGATGTGCCACAGTTTATTTATCCATTCACCTCCAGAAGAACATCCTGGTTGCTTCCAAGTTTTGCCAACTATGAATAAAACTGTTACAAACATCTGTGTGCAGGTTTTTGTGTGGACATGAGTTTTCAACTCATTTGGGTAAATGTCCTGTCTTTTAAAAATATGTTTTTCTCTCTTGTGTTTTTAAAACTTTCCTCCTTTTTGCTCTATTTTTCTAAAATATTTCCTTAGCTTTTTTCTTGACTCTACTGAGTTTTAAATTTCTGCTATTATGGTTTTTCATTTCTAAGAAGTATTTTGGTTAATTTGTTTTCTGAACATTCCTTTTTTACAGCATCTTGTTCATGTTCCACACAAGCAAAACTTTGGTCTCTTAGAGAATATTATGTTATTTATTCATTTTCTCCAATTGCATGGTGTCTGATTGCCCCAAGTTGGTCTTTCTTTTATCTTATCTTTTTTTGTCTTTACCTTTCATGTCAGAGGCTTTCTAGATGTCTCTTGAACCTCAGGTGATTCTAATGCACCTAATGGTCTGAGAAGCACTGCTAGAGTCTCCTAACCTCTCTGAAGCTTAATCATCCTAACGGAGATCCCACCAAGAAAAATGACACAATTCAGTATTTTTCCCCAGAACTAGAGCTTTTCTTTTCCAATTAGAGGCCTAGCACTTTCCCTGAATGAAATGTCTTATGACAGTAGCCTTAGAAGTGGTTTTATAAATTATTTTGTGCATGGTTCACTCTCCTGGTATGTTTTTTCGTACCCATCTTACGTTCTTCTGCCTGTGCCAATGCTCCTTTGTCCCTGTTTAGGTTGGAGAGAGGCCTGACACTGGCCATCGGGAACATGATGCTGACCTTGGCTGTCCTCACCTGCTGGGCAGACATAGTTGAGGCCAACATCCTGGACCCAGAGTAGAAATTATAGTCCACTTGTGGAGGCATGCAGCAGGCCGGAAAGGCCCTGTCCAAGACCAAAACATCTTACCATTGTATTGCTGCTGCAAACAGGAAGGGGTGTATGCCTGTACAAGTGCTGAGGATATGTAAAGGGAAGCCAGGGCCTGCGGTGTTGGCACAGGGGGCAAGTCAACTCACATTAGAAATGAACCATATTTTCTTTTCTAATAAATATATATTTTTATTTCAACAATATATAAAGTTGTGTATCTTAATATGTGTAATTAATCTATCTTTAGTCATTCAAAACACTTTTACAAAATAGGGTGCATATGCAAAGAGATTTGGCATAGAGAAGGATGAGAAAGAAATACAATGATTTCCAAGTAGTAGACTTTTACTATGTGTCATGAACTTTACACATATCTCTTTTAAATATTAACTTTATGAGGTGAATTTTATTATAATTCTTTTTTTAATATAAGTGAGAAAATAGTGATTTGGAAAGTTAAGAAATTTCTCCAATGTCAGCCAACTCCAAGGTAACACAGGTAATAAGTTTGAGAATCAGCATTCAAGGCCAGGTCTGTTGATGACTCTGCTGCCCACAGTCATAACCATTATACCACACTGCCTACACAATAGACTCTCAGTCACTTTTGAATGAATGTTCTGGCAGGACCCTATTATTAGATGCAATAGCACCCAGATTTGGACACACCAACCTTCCCACTAGAATCCCCTGTATCAGTTAGCTATTGTCAGAGTAATGCTATGTAACAAACCACTCCTATTCTCAGTGGCTTAAAATAACCGTCATTTATTCTCGGGGATCTGCGGGTGATGTGGCTCTGCTTCAGGCTGTGGTAGCTGGAAGTCAGCTGAACTAGGCTGGGCTGGGTTGAATGGGTATCTTTTAAGCTACAGATCTTCATAAACTTGGCTCCTTTCTTAGTTACTTTGCATGTAAGCTAATTCTGAGACTCAGCTTGAAGGGGTGGTAGCCAACCAGGAAGGTCTTTTTGTAGCAATGGCAGACATGCCAGAGGGCACACTTAACTGCACAAACCATTTCACACCCTTGTTAGTGTCATGTCTGCCACCATCCCACTGCCCAAAACGTCATTTGGTTGAGTCCAAAGTCAAGGCACGGGCTGCAAAGTCATGTGTCAGACAGCATAAATTTGGGGTGCTGGTGAAGAATGGATGCTAATAATTCAACCTTCCACAGCTGCCCAAACCTAACATATGCCTGCACAGTGTGCCTATAAATAAATGTTTACAGGGAAGCAAAGTGACGAGGTCTAACATATTTTCTATGTCTATTTCATGAAGATCATCATTGCTGCTGCATAGAGAATGAATTGAAGGAACAGGGAGGGAAGCTGAGATGCCAGTTGGGAGCCTGGTGCTAGGTGAGAGATAACAGTGGCCTAGATGTGGGTGGTGACAATAGAGATGGCAGGATCTAGACCTATAAACACCACACACAGCTTATGGAGTTACTATCATTACTTTAAAGTTACTATCACTACTTTAAAAATACTGTAGTCTAGTTTACCAACTAGACTACAAATTCCATATTTTTACAATGTACATATAATTCTTTGTATATGTGAGGTAGACAGTAAAAAAGTTGAAAGCAACTATGGAAAGGACTGTTAGAATTTATTTAATTGACCCTGGGCCTAAAGGATGTGGACACATTGTAACTCTCTTGATGGGGACAGATTTGGCATTTTTCTATACTTAAAAAAATGTTCCTTTGGGAGGCCAAGGTGGTAGGATTACTTGAGCCCAGGAGTTCAAGACCAGCCTGGGCAACATAGGAAGACCCTGTTTCTACAAAAATCAATCAATCAATCAATCAATCAATCAAAATAATTAGCTGGGCGTGGTAGTGCACACCTGTAGTTCCAGCTATTTGAGAAACTGAGGCAGGAAGATCTTTGGAACCCAGAAGGGTGAGGCTGCAGTGAGCTATGCTTGTGCCACTGCCCTCTAGCCTGGGCGACACAGTGAGATCCTCTCTCAAAAAACAAAAACAAAACAAAGTTCTCTTGTCTCTAAAGTTTCTTTAGTTCAGTGTGATGACATGTAAAACTCTAGAATGTTGGGTTTGCCATTTGTCAATGACCCTTAAATATCCATGTAATGGGACAGTTCCTTGCAAAAAAAAAAAAAAGGAAACTCACCCAAACAAAAAGTTGTGTTTGCATGTTGTGAATATGGGTGGTAGCATTCTTCCTTTACAGGCTTTTAAATGTTGTCAAGTAGGTAACACAGCAGGTCCTCAAATAACATTGTTTCCTTCAACGTTGTTTCATTACAATGTTGATGAGAAAAAAAATTAATTCCAGCCCTGGGCCTGACTGTGTGGAGTTTGATAAGTGGGTAAATATTAATAACTATCTTACTCGTTTTTATTAATCTTTCTTAAATACATGTATAGCCTTCAATGTTTGATATTAGAAATGTTTTTGGTCCTTATTTAGAAGTTTGGTGATGTTTTGTGACCAGAAGTATGCCGTAGGAACTCACCTCTTGTGCATATCAATTAGCTTATGGTAAAATTGGTTTATTCTGGACCATTTGGCTTAAAGTCGCAGTTTCCAAGAATTTATCAGCAATGATGTTGTGAGGATTTATGGTACCGCTTTCCTAGGCCACAACATCTGATGAATGCCTTCAAGTAGTACATTAATTAAAATAAAAATAGGGAAATAGTTTTAGGTGCAGCAGCACCCTCTCTCTCCACCTCCAGTGATTCTCTGGAGCCGCTGGCAACTTGTTGAATAATTAACCTCGGTGGCCTTGAGCTCTTTCCCCGATCTTAGTTGTCCCTGGTTCCACTCTCTGCTCTGCCACCTTGTGGATTTATTGGGAATTGCGTCTTCTCCTGGGAGCCTTGCCGACTCACCTAGTAATCCCGCTGGGCTTTTCCTGAGCAGGGGATGGGGTTTAGAAAAGAAATCTCATCGCTGTAGTGACACTCAACAATAAGACACTTTGCTCTTTCGATCTTTCTATATTCTTCCCCCTCTCGCTTCTTTTGGGACAATATCCAGAGGCCAAGCTGAAGGGCATTTGATGGCCTTGCCAGTATCACACCTGAACGGCCCTCCCCACCTGAGACCTTGCGGCAGCCTCCCAGGGTGTGATACAGGCCCCGACTCTCCAGTCTCACCACCCCAGTCCACCAGAGGTTTCCTTATGCTTTAAAAATTATAAAAATAATACAAGCTTGCTTAGAGCTTAGCAATGAAGGAGACAGATTTTTAAAAAGTAAACAAATAAATGCAATATGTATACATTATGGTGAATGCTGTGAGATGGAGAGTAGTGGTGGTGGTGGGGGCAGAGAACTTTTTATTAAGAAGGCTGGTAAGGGCAGGCTTTCCTGAGTAGGAGAAATTTCAAATTGAAACCTGAAGGATGAGATGGATCCAGTTATTAAAAGAGAGAGAAAAAACACATGCAAAGCTCCTGAGGTGGGAGTGGGCTTGTTAAGCTGAAAGTGAGTGAGTGTGGCCAGATGGCAGTGAGCAGGAGGGGAGTGGTTGGAGTAAGGTTGGAAAGGGCATTAGGCACAAATAACACAGGGTCCTGTCGTGCTTGGTAGGGATTTTAATTTTATTCTGACTTTCATGGGAAGATGAGGAAAGATTCTTATGCAGGGAAGCGACGAGGTCTGACTGATACTTTCTATTTCATCCTTGCTGCTGCCTGGGGAATGGATTGAAGTGAACCGGGAGGGAAACTAGAATCCCATTTGGGAGCCTGATGCCAGAAGCTGGGTGAGGGAAACAGTGGCCTAGACTTCGGTGGTGGCAATAGAGACGGAAGGATCTAGACGCATGTTGTCTAATATGGTAGCACTAGCCACATGTGGCTACCGAGCACTTGAAATGTGTAAGTGTAAAATCTACACCAGATCTTGGAGGTTTAGTACAAAAAAAAAGGATATGAAATCTCTCATTGATAACTTGTTTATATTGATTATGTGTTAAAATAATAATATTTTGGATATTTCATCATGTTAAAATATAATATGAAAATATTTAACCTTTTTACTTAAAAAAAGTGGCTACTGAAAAAATTTAAATTGCATATGTTGTTTGCATCTGTGGCTCTCTATGTTTTTATTGGACAGTGCTGATATAGATAAAAGTTGCAAAATTTAAAAAAGTACTTTTTTTTTTGAGACAAGGTCTTGTTCTGTTGTCCAGACTTGAGTATAGTGGCATAATCATAGCTCACTGCAAGCTTGAACTTCTGGGCTCGAGTGATCCTCTGGCCTTGGAATCCCAAAGTGTTAAGATTATAGGTGTGAGCCACTATGCCTGGCCAAAAAAATACTTTTATTGTAAATTTACATTGGATACCTTAGAAATTTATAGCTAAGTATAGATTTTTTTTTCTGGTCCACAGAAGATATTTATTTGATATAATAAAAATAGTGTTCTATCCAACCACAAAGAGTAAAAGGAGTGAAAAATTTGAATATACACATACAAAACTCAAGCTGTTTAATGTGACAATTTTTTTTTTAAAATAATGCTCCTAGCTGTGTGTGTTGGATCATGTCTGTAATTCAAGCATTTTTGGAGGCCAAGGTAGGAGAATCGCTTGAGCTCAAGAGTTTGAGACCAGCCTGGGCAACATGGCAAAACTCATCTCTATGAACATATACAAAAATTAGCTGGGCATGGTGGCACATGCCTATAGTCCCAGCTACTAGTGAGGCTGAGGTAGGAAGATCTCTTGAGCCTGGAAGGTTGAAGTTCGTGCACTCCAGCCTAGGTGACAGAGGGAGACCCTGTCTCAAAAAAAAAAAGCTTCTAAAATTCCTTAGTTATTGAAAATTATGTGAAAACAGAAGGATGTTAATAGCAGCAGAGTGCATGAAATCAAATATCAAATTTTGAGCAAATGGGTCAGGTGCAGTTCTTTCTTGCCTGTAATTCCAGCACTTTGGGAGACTGACGCAGGAGGATCACTTGAGCCTGTGAGTTTGAGACCGGCCTGGCTAACATAGTGAGCCTCCATCTCTGCAAAAAAGAAAAAACATCAGCTGGGCATAGAGATGCACACTTGTAGTCCCAGCTCCTCAGGAGGCTGAGATGTGAGATCGTGAGCTCAGGAGGTTGAGGCTGTAGTGGGCTGTGAATGGACCATCGCACTTCTGCTTGAGCAATAGAATGAGACCCTCTCTCAAAAAAAAAAAAAATTTTTTTTTTTTTAGCTAATGAACATCTGAGACAACTTTGCTAACACTGCATTTTTTTTTTTTTGTTGTTTACAATCTGCTCAAAATATCTTTATGCCAACTGTGTGGGCAGCACATTCAGGTTTAATATCAGTTACACATTAGCATAAATTTGGAGAAATACACATAGGGTATTGTTTTCTTTTGAGCTGGCAAAGTGACCACAGAAACATCAGATCATCTCTCTGAATACCGAATTTTATCCAAATAAATGTCACATGCCTTCCAGACATATTTTAATCACGTATTTAATTTCTTAGGCTGAGAGCAGTGTCTCATGCCTATAATTCCAGCACTTTGGGAGGCTGAGGCAGGAGGATCACTTGAGCCTAGGAGTTTGAAAACATCCTGGTCAACATAGTGAGACCCTGTCTCTACAAAATAAAAAAATCAAAAGTTGAGTGTCGTAGTGTGTGCCTGTAGTCCCACCTACTCGGGAGGCTGAGGTGGGAGGATCGCTTGAGTCTGGGAGTTAGAGGCTGCAGTGAACCTCTGCACTCCAGCCTGGAGTGAGACCCAAAGTGAGACCCCTATCCCAAAACCAAACCAAACCAAACCAAAGCAAATCAAAACAGGAAACTTTCTTCATGTGATATTTATAGATGATTTGAATTTGAAATGACTTCAGCTTCTTAAACTTTTGTTGTCTTTTTAAAAATACCCTTGAATCTGGCTAGTTCCAGTCTTATGACAGCATGTTGCGTGAGGCCCTGTAAAACATGAGGAGTTGTCCCTGAGGTTATAGGGCTTCTTAGGAAGAACACATGTTCTAGGTTTGAAGACAGAAGACTTAGGCTCTACCTTGGCATCCATAATGTGTGAACTTGAACTTGATTTAACATCTGTGAATCTCACTTTTCTTATTTGTAAAATGGAAATGGATGATGAACAGTACTAGCTGCCACGAAGGTCATAGCTTTCCCCTCATCCTTTATCACACCCCACAAGGTAGGTGCTCTTATCTCCTTTTGACAGGGTAGGAAACTGAAGTTCAGAAAGGGTAAGTCACTTACCTAAGGTTACATTGCTAGAAAAAATTGAAGCTAGGATTTGAACTCTGTTTTTCTGTCTCCAAAGTCAGCTGAAAATTGTTTTCCCCCACTCATCATGCCCCTTGCTAATTTCCTGCCTACCTCTGAGATTATTGGGAAGATCAAATTAGACTGGTGAATGGGCTTTGGAAAAATGTCATAAAAGATACAAATGTGTAATAGATCACGAATTCTCAATGAAACAGGAGTATAAACGGAAACTCCAGAGAAACACTCACAAACGTCTGTCTGGTGCTTATCTGTCTGTTTAAATGAAGTGAATATCACATGTTGCTTTTTCAATTTCAAACTCTGAAAGTCATATTACAGAGTAACAATTTCCTTCCTCAGGATAAAAATTTACAGGAATTCAGAGGAAAATATTTCAGTGGTCATTACTAAAACGCTCAGAGTCAGATACATTCAGCATCATACCGTAAGTCCCGTTAGTCAAAGCATAAACAAGTGCAGAACCTGGCGGGGCTTCCTTCAAGTTGGTTGAGTCCATCTGGGAGGATTCACTCAGCAAGAGGCAGAGGAACCAAGGCAGGATGAAGACATTGCCTGTGCTCGTGCTGTCTCTTACCTTACTGACTGTCTTCTCAGGTGAGCACTGACTCCAAAAACAGTCTATTTCTATGCTGACATGATAAATAATAGTCTATTTAACAGTTAATTTAAAAAATTTTAAATAATATATAGGGTATATAGATATTTCAATGCTTTTTCTTTTCTTTTTTTTTCCATAAGAGCCGGCTTCCAGAATTTTTATCATTAAAGTTACATTATATATTTTTAAAAAAATCTTGAAATATATTTGAGCACTAATTCTCAAAAATGCTGATAAATCTTCAGCTTCTGATAGCTTATTTTAGAGTTTATATGAGATCACCAAAATTTGATATATTTTTATTATGATAATGTCTTTTAAAATTTGCAAGTAATTATCAAAGCACTTTTGTACTATCTCCTTTGAGTGGTTGTGATGATCAAGTTTAACATAGTCTTCTTATCACTGGGCATCTTCCAGTAATGACTTTAAACTTGATTTAGTGTATTGAGGATTAAAAAAACTTCCATGAAAGCAAGCCTAAGAGACACAGACCAGTGAACTGAAGATCCATTAAAATAATCCTCACTTTTAAAGAGATGGACCATTGCAATCAGTAAATATGTTTAGGTTGTGCAACTTTTGCTCTGAGTTAACTATGTTCGAAACAATTCAAAATTGCTTCCTGAGCCCTCTGGAATGCTGCGTCCTTTGGGACAGGTCCCCGGGAAAGAACTTTCGTGTTTTAACCAAAATTGAACTTGCAAATCTTTTGCCTTGGACTGCTGAGATGGCTCATGAACTCCTGAACCTGAGCATCCTTAAGGCACCTTCCCGACTTTTCCAGAGACCTCCCCGATTTTGATGGAGAAGCAGGCCAAACAGCTCCTAAGATCTCGGCGACAGGATAGACCAAGCAAACCTGGATTCCCCGATGAGCCAATGCGGGTAAGTGCTTGGCTCTGGCGGTTTTAAAGAAAATGTGATCATTTGAATGCGATTCATTATGAAACTAGGTGTTGGTCCCAGCATGGGCTGCTAATTGGGGGTTCGGTTAGAGTTTCAGGTATAAGATACATGCAATCTCAATCTTTTACCTATGCATTTTCTCCTCTGGAGGTGCCAGCCTGACTCACCTGTTGTGAACAGGGTAACTTAAAATAGAAATAATGGGGCCAACGGTGGGAGTTCCAGAATCTGGAGAGAGCTGCTGAATGTCACCCCTGTCCTGCTTGCTGGAGAGCTGTTCCCTTTAGCCAATGCTAAGCCCATCTCCTGCCTCTTCCCTTAGGCCCTGGGGCAGGCTGGACCAGCATCCTTGGTCAATGATGGTCTGTCCAGGCAGGGAGAATCTCTGCCCCAGCTGCCCGAGGAGTTCTGCTCTGATCTCATCTCTCTGATTTTGGTCTCTGGCCTTACTTCTGCCCTGTGGGGTCATGATATCCACCTGCCTAGTCTTTCTGAACCAGGCTTTCTGTGAGTAGATGTTACTAGACCCTGCTAGCTGGCCCCGGACCCAATTCAGGCCTGGCTTGTTTCCTCCTGTTGCTAAAATGATAGTGACTTCGGTGGCTAAAATGCCACGCAATGAAGGGAAGTAGCAGTGACCCAGCAAAGTTAGAATGTCTGGGAAGCCATGTCTGTCAGGCTGGTCTCCCATCCTGGCCCCTTCATCTGGGCACGATGCTTATCCTGTCTTCCCTGAATCTCCATATTGAGGCTCAGAAAGAGCTGCAGTAGCATTTGCCTTCATTCACTGCAAAATCTCATGCATAATTTGATTATTTTGTTTAAAGGTTCTTATTAAGATATAGTATTGCACAGTGATGAAGAGTGCTGACTCTGGGGTCAGACTGGGTTTGAATCTCCCTGTTTTCTAACTGGGTAAGTTTGGGGAAGTTTCTTCACATTTTTGTAGCTCAGTACTCTCATCTATAAAATGGGGATAATAAATACAATTGCTGATATTACTATAATATTATTATAAATAATAATGTAAAATAATTATTTTATGATGGTAAAACAAAGTACTTCTTAGGAAAGCACTTAGAAAGTGCTCAGCAAATGGTAAGTACTCCTCTGAGTATTAAGTACCAGGTACCTGCTAGGTTCTGGGGCTGTAGGTTTCTGCTCAAAGTCTGTGGTGGAGACAGAAGTAAGCAAATGGCTGCTATGCAGTATGATTTAAGAACAGATGACTTCAGGCTGTTAGGGATAGATGTGGCTTTTAATTTTTTTTTTTTTTTTTTTTTTGGAGAATAAGAGGTAGCTCAGAATATTTAAGTGCAAGGTTGGAGGGGACTGGGAGGTGGGCAGGGCAAGATCGAGACAGGTTTGAGTACCTTGAGTTTTATCTTGTGTCTAGTAGAGAACAACTGAAGGATTTTTCAAGTGGGGGGAGTACAGGTCTGGGTGTTAGAGAGTTTGAGACAATGAGAGAAGAGGCCCATGATTAAAGTCTGGGGTCACCAACACTCAGAGGTGGGCAGGGGAAGAGGAACCCTGAAAGGGCTGAGAAGGAATGCAGAGAGATAGAGAAGCCAAGAGAGTGGGGGTGGCAGACCAAGGTGGGGGAGGCATAGGAGGAGGGGGTGGGGTGAAGGGGGGGCAGCATGTGCACAACTGTGATGGGGAGGAGGATGCCTGGAGGGAGGGATCCTGTCGGGGAGCTCTGGCTGGCCCCCTGTGCTTTGGCAAGATGCCTGGAGCAGCCATTCTGCAGCTCTTCCTCAGGGACCTGGCAGGGGCTGGGGGAGCTGGTTGAAGGGTCCTCAAAGCAGTGGCTCCTGCTCAAGGTGCTCGAGAGGCAGCTCTAATGACTCCCACATCTGCCCCCTGACATTTTCTGTGCCAGCATCTGCACCTGGCTCTTTTGAACTCTGTCTGTGGAATAACAGTCTTTGTCCTAACTGAGGCATTGTAGGTGTGGGTGAACAGGTGGGTTTGAACTGTTGCAGCCCAGCTCCCTGCCCCCCACCCTTCCTGCACCCTGTCCATATGCCAGCCTACATGCCAGGCTAGACTTTGGCCCTAAAACCCTATTTTGCGTGGTCCTTCCCCTGCTCAAAAACTTCCGAAAGCTCCTTCTCTGTTTGCCTTTTCCCACTTGTGGTCGTCACTTCCCTTAATCCTTGACAGCCCTCTGCTTGCTTCCAACTTTGCAATTTTACTGAATATCTGGCTTTTTCTGGTTTGTTTTGCTCATCTTTTATGGGCTTGACCACCACCTGCTCCTCTTAACTGCCTTGAACCTATCTGATTAGTTTCCATGTAACTCCTTCTTGCCTCAGAACTTGTTGCTGAGCCACCATCCCGTCCTCCATGTCCCTCCCAGAGACACTTGATCCAATATTCAGAATCCTCAGGCACTCAGTCCAGTGTGGAAAAGTGGTCATAGGTTTTACAGTTGAAATGTGAAACAAACATGCAGTCAATTATTGGGTGGCTAGTCTATACTAGTAGTTCTCATCCATGGGTAATTATGCCTCCTCATCCCCAGGGACATTTGACAATATCTGAAGACATTTTTGGTTGTTACACCTGTGTGGAGCATTGCTTTTGGCACCCAGTGGGTCCAGGCCAAGGATGCTGCTAAACACTGTACACAGGGCACAGGGCAGCCTCCACAACCCGGAATTATCTGGCCCAAAATGTCAATAGTGCCAAAGGAGAGGAACCAAGTCTACACACTGCCAAGTAAACTTTTTCTTGTTTACTCTCTGTCACGCTGTGTGTGTCTCTCTCTGTCTTTCTCTATAATTGCACTCACTTGAACACACACAGAACTGGCTGAATCAACAAATAGTTTCTGGTATCATATTTTTTCTAGAAATGTGTTTCTTAACTTTGGTTACATTCTGGAACCACCTGGGGAATTTAAATTCTGATGCCTGGGTCCCACTCCCAGAGGGGTGGCCTGGGGTGAGACCTAGGTATGGGGGATGGGGCCAAAGCCCCAGTGATGCCAACCTGCAGTTGAGACTGAGAACCACTGGGCTAGGCCATCTGGGAGAAATCGGCCACGTGTGTACCAGTTCCTGTGGTCTAGTTGGGAACATAAAAGCATTTAGAAAGCTGTTAAATGTTGAAGTGAGCGGTATGGAGAGTATCTTAGTTGTTTAGACAAAAAGAGAGATGAGAGGGTCAAGTGGTGGGCGCTGATCAAGATGTGCACTTAATTAGATTTTATATTGACTGTGCCCTACTAAGCACCGGGGACTGAGGATGCAAGATAAACCAGACATTCTTCCTTATGCAAGGTGCCCACTGTGTGGAGGTGGAGCCAGAGTGCTCCAGCCTGATTTGGGCTCACTAACAAGGTTATGTGGTACAATGAACTGTGGCTCTGCAAGCAGAGAGTCTCGAGCTCTAACTGGAAGGAAAGGGGAGGCTGGGAAGGCTTCCCAGAGGAGGTGACCCCCAGCTGTGGCTTGAAGGATGACTAGGAGTTCTCAGGCAGTGCAGGGGGTAGGGATGAGGCGGGAAGAACATTCCACCCAGTGCACTTCCAGGCCATATTCTGCCGCTAACTAGTTGTGGACTTTGGGTAAGTCACTCCCTCTTTTGGAAGCCTAGTTTTTTCATCTGTAAAATGCAGAGTTTGGCTGGAATCTGGCCTAGATTCCAGAATGTCTAATTTCAGGTCTCATATTGTAGGGCTCTGGATAGAACCTTGGGGCTGACACAGGTTTCTTGGTGCCAGTCTGCAATGTGGCAGAAGAGCCAGAGGCAGCAGGATACCAACCCGAGTGAGGAGTCAGGCAGTTTATTTTGAGGCCCCTGGAGGGGTGTCCCTAGAAACCACAGGCCTCTCACCTCATGCTGGCCCTGCTGCCGGGAGTATTCCACATCCTCGACTTACTTATTTGACCCACTCATGCCTCTTGGGTCTCCTTGTTGACTTCTTCTTTTATGGATTTACTGAAAGCAAAATTAATAATGCCAGTCACTGGCACGTAAAAAGAGGTAATTTACTGCATTTAACTGTGACTGTAAAAATGATCCTGGCCCTGCACTCCCAGTTGGAGCATAAGAGGCAGTGGCCTCAGGTTTGTCCTTGGGTGGTGAGGAGCCGAAGAGGCTGGACCTCTGGCCAGGGGAGGTCAGAGGCTGGCACTAGAGCTGCTGTACGGGCCCACATCTTTGTAGCCTGGGAAGGAGGGAGTTCAGAGGCTCAGGCCTTTGCCTCCTAGGAGCCAGCCCTTCTGGCTCTTTGCCTTTTGCCAAGACCTCCTCACCCTCCCTGTTTCTGAGTGTAGGCCAAGAACAGCTGCGCACAGATGTCCCTTGCTCGGGAAGAGGGTGGGATGGATGCACCATGCTGTGAATTTGGCTGCCAGTATTGTGTCTGTGTATGTGCGTGTGAATGTGTGTGAGAGGTGTGTGTGAGGGATGTGTGAGGGGTGTGTATATGTGTGAGGGGTGTGTGTGAGGGGTTTGTGCGTGTGAGGGGTTTGTGTGTGTGAGGGGTGTGTGTGTGAGGGTGTGCGTATTCAAATATGAGAATTGTATGAGGGGTATATGTGTCAGGAGTATGTGAAGGTGTGGGAGGGTGCATGAGGGGTGTGGGAGAGGGATGCATGTGTGTGAGGATGTATGTGAGGGGTGCGGCGGTGTGTGTGAGGGTGTGTGTGAGGGGTGTGTGCAAGGAGTGTGTGTGAGGTAGGAGTGTGTGGGGGTGTGTGTGAGGGGTCTGTGCAAGGAGTGTGAGGTTGTGTGTGAGAAGTGTGAGGGGTGTGTGAAGGATGTGTGTGTAAGGGTGTATGAGGGATGTCTGAGGGGTGTGTGTGAGGGGTCTGTGCAAGGAGTGTGTGTGAGGGTATGAGTGAGGAGTATGTGTGAGGGGTGTGTGAAGGTGTGTGTGAGGGTGTGTGTAAGGGGTGTGTGTGAGGGGTCTGAGAGGTGTGTGAGGGTGCAGGTGTGTGTGAGAGTATATGTGTAAGGGGTGT